GCGACGGCGAGCCCGCTGCATCCAGCAGAGCAACAATCCTGGTCCAGACAGCTGAGGTCATGTTGAAGTCGCGGCCGAAAGCAGCACCAGCATCAATGGATGAGCCCGCAGATGACAAGGGAGCCACATCCAGCCAGTACCAGCCGCAGGCAACTGCGCGCTTAGAGGGACAAGCATCTGGCCACGTGAAAGCATATTGGATGGAAGAGCATTTGCCTGAATACCAATGCAGACGGGGACGATGTGCCCGGCATCCTCTTTGAAGGTACGGCTTATGAGCTGGAGCTGATATCGGCATCCGACGTTGAGACCATTGCCAGCCAGACTCGCGTCGACAAGAAGTTTTCTGATTTTGCAACTCGTGTCAACAAAGTTTGCAGGGGGCATGGATCCTGTGCCAAGGTGCCAATGGACAAAGACCTTTGGATTGACTTGGAGGATTTTGCCAAAGCCTTCCGCAAGGAAGTGCCCCCAGATGTTTTCATCACTGTCGCAAACCTGTTTGGCACCGCAATGAAGATCGACAAGCATGGCAAGAGTAGGTTCCAATTCTTGTGTGCAAAGATTTCCCATTTTCCTGTCGACAATGGCCTAGGCATGCCGTATTATCCTGTGAAAATCCGTGCAATTCAGGGTCACTCCGAAGCTGCCTTGAAAACCGCAGGGGGTCTTTATGCCAATTCAACCATGGTGTATTGCTCAGACCATGTATCCCCCGAGCGAAAAGCCGCCTTCACTGGCGTGCCCCTGTGTGCCATGACTGAGGTTCCTGAGGTTGTCTTCCATCGCACGATGAAAAGCAGCTGGAAGAGCATCGCACAGAACGGCCTGATTCCAGGCGGCGGTGCAACAGTCAACAGTGGCCGTGCTCATATCTACATGGCAGAACACTGTATTGGCACGCAGGGGTATCGATCTGGATTAAGAGCAAAATGTCCAAGCGAAGTCAAAATCGCAATGCGGCAAGCAGTTGAAGCTGGTGTCATCTTTAGTCGCACAGAAATGGATGGGATTTTGTGTTCAGAACGCATCCCACCGCAGTTTCTGGTCAGCATCTCAGAAGAAGGACAGGTGCTTTGGTCCCGCGCCGAGAGCAATCTCGAGCCCAGCACATGGACTGGCGCGGCATCAGCCTCAGCACCGAAAGCCAAAGCGGTCACCTTGACTGCCCGAGATGATGCAAATGACGACCCAATGGATGACACCAGCACGGGGCGACCCGATGCCAAGTCCACTGATGATGATGCAGCCACTGCCTCAATGCAAGTTGACCAGCCGCCCGCAAGGACGCGCCGTGTTTATATTGCACCCAAGTACTGCGAACCTTTCATGGGCTCCTGTCCCCTCTGCCAGGTTGAGTACGTCAGTGGCCAAGTGACATGCACCACATGTGGGTTTGAGCCACTCCCAGTGGACGAAAGTGGCGATACAAAAGAGGCCAACAAACCCAACAGGAGGACCCGCATCCTTGAACGGCGAATGCAAAGTCTCGCCGGGTTCGGAATGTTTGGGAAGATGAGCGGAAGCTTGCTGACAGCCTTGACGGAAGAGCAAGCCAACCTGCTACGCCGAGAACTGGGCCCCAGGGGAATCACATCCGTGGAATCAGCAGTCCTCAAAGACTGCCGCGACAGGCATCGACGTGCAAAAGCGCTGGGCTACGAGGACGTGGAAGACAGATACTCCAGCGACGTCACTTTTTGCGACCGCATCCACGGTGAGGGGAAGGACCTGCAGGACTGCATATTTGACGATATGTTCGCATATGGCAACCTCCCCGATCCCCCAAGGACCAAAGCTCAGATCTCGGCTGGCGTCGCCGCCAATGCCCAAAATGAGAACTGCTTATCTAAGTTGATTTTCATGTCTCAGCCTCGTGGCGTTGATGGCTTCCCAGTTGAGTTCCGCAAAACATGGAAGAAGGTCTGGGGTTTCATGTTTGGCCGCCACATTTTTACAGAGGATGAATATGTCAGCTACATCGGCCGTCGTGGCGCATTCCGTGGCCTGTTGACCTGGAAGGGTACTGTCCAAGTCCCTTTTGATGGCACTCGTGATTTCCTCGAAAAGGTGTATGAGGAAAACCTTCCCTTGGTTCGGAGCAATCTTGAACGCAAAGAGAAGCAGAGCGCCGCTGCAAAGGCTGGAGGTCCTGGAGGTCATAAGGCCGACCCCACGGTCGCGCCCACCATTGAGCGAAAGCGCAAAGCCGAAGCTGATGCATCCGCAACCGCACCAGATGTCACAGCCGCCTCAAGCTCTGCTCGCGCAGATGCCTCGCACGCTGATGCCCCAGTCGCACCATTTCTGGTACCTGAACCACCAACATCCAAAGCAGGAGCACGACCATTCTTGGAGCCTGAGACACCGCCCACTGCAAAAGCAGCAACCGCAGGAGTCACTTCGAAGGCTGCAAGCTCCGGTCGCCCGGATGCCTCTTGGAGTTGGAATCGTGATCACTATGGTGCACGCCGAGAATGGAGTTTCTGGCGTGGGGCTTGGTATTACCGTGACGAGGCCGGCGGCCGTTGGATCTTTTGGAACCGTTAGGGAGACGATGATTTTCTTTTGTAGCATAGCGCAAGATGTGGCATGGTATTGTGCCTTCCTTGCAACGCTGCGCTGGGTTTTACGGGCTTGAGCTTTTTAGAGGGACCTTTGAAAGACTGCACAAAATGTCTAAAACCAACTAAAGAAATTTGGCTACCCGCGAGGGTATGCTTTTCTGGGTTATTCGTTCTCCGCAGTCGTCCCTGCTCGCCCGAGGGGGGTGTAAAAACTCCTGCAGTAAAACCATGTATTGTATATATCATCGATCTGCCCGATAGCGTTGGTTCAAAAGAGCTGAGTGCTTACCGGTCTGTTGTTGCCCCATTAGTTATTGTAACTATTGTTGGCTGACCTTGTAAAATACAGAATCTTCACAGGGCTCACCTTTCCTCAACATACCTTTGGAGTTTGAATTGCAAACCGTTTGGCGCAGCAGCTTTTCACCAAGCAAAGATGGAGCTCCTGGAAAATTTGTGTGGCCACACAAGACGAGGATTGGGATGATGATGTGGATTTTGTTTGTGACAGGTGCTGAATCAGCGCAAAAGGTAAGCTCTCAGCCTCCCCTGGATGAGCCAGTGAATTTGGGCAACAGAAATGGCAGTGATCAAGATTATGGAGATTTAAACACCAAACAGGGGATTATCAACTGCTATCAGCTATCATCCAGGAATGATTCATACAATGTGGTACCCCCCAGTGATGTGAACGTTAGTTGAAATAACCCCCATCAACTAGTTCGATATATCTACCATCAGTCCTACTTATTGTAGTTATGTTCGCCAACTTAGCTATTTATGCGGCACAACTATGGATACATATTTGGTGATAGATCACAACGGTGGCTATAAGACCAACCATAGGGATAACCATGGGGATATCATCGGGATACCAGCAATCAAACGATGCAAGGGAACGTGATTGATTGAGATGGAGGATGTTCCCAGCTAGAAACCTCCATTCCTGGTTTTTTTTTCCCATTGACACGTTTGATTATACTCCAGGGGGGCTGACCCCAACATTCACACGACCCAGGTCGAACTGCCCATCCCCAATAAGGGTACGTACACATACAAAAAGATGTGGAGAAACCATGAGAAACCGTGGTTTCCCCGGGAAAGATCATCTAGAAATGGTGGTTTTCCACAATTGGATTTTAGTTTCATGGGGATAGAACGACAACTAGATCTGCAGAATGAGATAGAACGGACAAACTGTTGAATGACATATATATATAATATAAGACTATAATGTCCCATCATATTTCCATGATACCAGCATTCTTGTTGATTACCCTCTGGTAAACTAACATAACTATGGAACATCACCATTTTCAATGGGAAAGCTCACTATAAATGGCCATTTTCAATAGCTATGTTAGTTTACCAGAGGGTAAATCTCATGAAAGTGTTTGACTATCCGCCAAGTGTTCATGCTGAAATCTCATTCAATTTCTCGCTGGAATCTCATGAGTTTCTTCCACGAAAATCCCCACAATAATCCCATCATAATCCTACATTTCGTGGTGCCCCAGTTCGGAATCGCGTTCAGTTGTGGCCTACATAACTACAATTTTTGTAGGATTTTCCTGGTAGATATTTCACGAACTAGTTCATGGGGCTTATTTCAACTAACGTTCACATCACATCTAGGGGTACCATCATAATCCTATTGATTTCCATTCCTGGATGATAGCTGATAACAGTTGAGTTTCTCTGGTAAACTTTCACATAACTATGGAAAATCCACCCATGTTTCATGGGTAAATTCACTATAAATGGTCATTTTTCATGATAAAAATCCACTATTTCCATTAAAGTTCCATGAATTCCCGTGAATTTCCACACATTTCTGGTCTGTTTCTTATCAGCTCCAGCCCATTTGGGCGGCGTTTTTTTGAGGAAATGCTTCGGCAGCGGCAGCAACTGCACGGCATGTCGCCCCTCGGATGATGGAACGTTTGGGTTACAATACGCATAGGAATAGGATAGATATCCATAGTAACTATGGTTTATAGGTGATATATCTTTAGTTATAGGTGATATATCTATAGTATTCTATAGTTATAAATTGTTTTACAAACCAGTTCGTAAGTATGTCAATATATCTGCCATAAACCATAGTGACATTGGAGTTTTTAAACGCACCAACTTAGCGTTCACGAACTGGGGCACCAGCTTGTATGTCCCTTTGCCAGTTATGAATTATTTTAAATGGTGGACTACATAGGCTGATCATTCCATACATGGTTCAACTTTGGTTCGATACTTTAGTACTTTAATCTGTTGCTATCAATGGTGAAATGTGCTAACCAGTCAAAAGTTAGATGTTTCATGTTTTTTTTTGTTGGCAGGTATCTAAGATTCACCATGTATAAACCATAGTAGCTATAGACATATCAAACATAAACCCAAACGTTAGGCTGGAGATGAGTTGGGGGTTCTGAAGTCATGGTGCTTAAGATATCACGGTTTAACTATCAAACATATGGGAATTGCATTGATGAATGATGGTTGATTGATGATTAGAAGGTATTATTTTCTAACCAATATGTGGGGGGTTCCGAACTCATGGGAGTACCCCAAGGCATGGGGGACCCAAGTCGTCACTATGGAAAAAATAGTTGTTGCAATACTGAGTTATGTTCGTTCATGACTTGGATGATGTGGGGGTACCCCCATTTTCGAAAACCTCCATATCTGCCATAAACCCTAGTTGGTGGAGTTACGTTCGCCAACTTAGCTACTTATGGAGCAGTAAGTGATTCACAACCAGAGTTGTTATAACCTATTTATAGATTATTTATGATGATTTGCTTACGAACAATGCTGATGTTCCAGTTCGCTACATTAAAGTGCCAGAGGGAAACCTGAAAAAATGCTGTTTTTTTTACGATGAACAAGGAAGTTGTGCTTTGTTTTCAGTGGTTTTTCTAATCCGAACGGTTCTAAGATCTACAAAAAAAGGGAACGGCGTCCGCTGATGCGTTCTTTTTGTACCCGATCGATCCATGGGATGTTCAGCATTCCCTATCTTTTTACCATGTTTTAGCATGGTGGTGTTTAATGCCCATAGGATCCATGTATGGTATATATGTTAGCATTGGGGGTATATTGATGGTAAATGTTACCATATATAGCATACATGGATCCTATGGGATAGTGGGGGCGTGGGATTAGCAGACTAGCATGCTTACCCCACGTTGTTTGTCGCAGCATATGCGGGTCCTTCGCATCGTATTGAGCATTTGGATTCTCCTTGCGTGGAAAAAGAAAAATACGTTACAATGCACTCGCCCATGCCCCCAGTGGAAGCAAAATGGAACGGGTCAATACCTATCTTGATACCTTATCTTGGGTGAAGTTTACATGCATTTGCCAGCCATGTGGTGATTTCCTAAAATGGGGCTACCCCCACATCCATGTTATTTTTGGATTTTCCATGAAATAAACCATCCACTCTTTGGGAAAAAAACCATGACTTTGGAAGTGCCAGCTAAATCAGCTAAGCCTTGCGCTGAAAGCCATGAGATTTTCCATGATTTTCCCAGGTGTCATGACACATCCCTGAGGCAAATCTCTGATTTTGGATGATGGTGTTTGCAAACACTGGACTGATGGCTGCAGCGAGGGAAAGCATCTTGTCAAAGGTCCTGCTGTTTGTGCGGCCCCCCGGTTTCATTCGAAATGGCTAAGTTGGTGAACATATTTAGAATAACTATCTTCTATATTGATCTATGATAAAGTTGGTTTATAATAGTTTATAACTATAATAACATATAACAACTATGATCTATGATATTTATAATTATCGTTACTGGTATTAAAAAAAAACAACTTACAAGTTACAAGGCCCCATGAACAAATTGTGAAGTTCCGAACGGTCCGAACCCAGAAATGGGAAAAGCCAAGTACTGTAGTGAAAAAAAGAACTTGGACGAAATAGATGGTTTATAAGTGGCTGAATTCTAAGGTTTATGGTAGATATAACGAACTAGTTAATGGGGGTTATGATGGTTTATAAACCAACTTATACCTGTGGAGGCCCATCCTGTATCAGAAATGGATTTGGAGGACCCCTTTTTTTCAACATAGGGAATGACTCTTGTTTGGATTCCTCGTTAGGTTTTCTCAATGTGCGCCCCCAGTTATAAGTTGGCTTACAATTTACAAACCCCATCAATAGCTATAGTCTACAATGTAAGTATCATGAAACATACTTATTGGAGGTATTTTCACCAACTTAGCTATCGTTTGGGGGCCCATTTCGTTGATTGTTTTGTCGGCTAAGTTGCAATCTACATTTGTTGAAAATTGTCTAGCCATATATACAGTTTTGGCCCTTTACCAGTTGTCAGTCAGTTTTAACCCCATCTATGGAAGAGTAACCACATTTATAGCCATTTATAATAACAAATTATAACCATTTATAACCAGTTATAACTGGTATTTCGGGTTAACTGTACCAACATGTGTTCCTATTACAACTGCAAGAACGTCGTGTCAAGTTCCCAATTTTGCTGGTCAAGCGGCCATGTTTGCAGGCTGAATGTTCCACGATTCACATTGACTGACTCACCATTTCGGTTGAAATGGATGAAACCCACACAAGAAATGGTGATGAAATAAATTGGTTTGATTTATACTCGTAACTGAGTTATTTTCATCCCATTTGATTCACATTGATAAAATTGTTGTTTTTTTTTCTGGCAATTGTTGGGTGTTTTTCCCTTCAGTTGTAGCCCTCTAGGCAGTTATAAATGGGATGAAATAACTCCTGTAACCGGTTGGTTATACAGTAGGATCCAATTTATAACTGCTGGTAAATCGACAGTTCGACCCTGAAAATCGCCCATTTTTAGTGGAAACTCATCTGAACCAACGGCAGGGTGCTGGCCACTGACCTTGCCAGTGAGGTATGCCAATGAGGAGCGTCTCTGCGTGCCATGTGACCCTGCTTTGGGCTGCAAGGCCTGCAATCGACAAGGCACTGTTTCCTGGCCGAGAACGATCGAACGCGATCGCGAAGTTGCGGAAGTTTTTTGGGCCAGGGCCAGGGCCAGTCCTCCAATTTCAGGAGGTTTATGATACTTCCAATAAATCAAGAGAAGAACTAGTTTCACGCAAGTATTCTGATATATACGCATTTATAAATAAGTGTTCTATGTTTGTTTTTTGTCCGTTCATAACTTGTAAACAGAATAGCTAGTTTCACTTATAATACCTATAAGTAGTAAAAAAATATGTATTCATGGGATGTGTAAACAAACTTATCATTGGGGACTCACATTGTAGTACATTTATAACTGGGTTGAACAAAGCCACTGGCAAAATTCCTGGGGTGAACCAGCAAGCATCAACTATCAGATTTTGTCATCGGAATATCGTATAAAATATCGGTAAAGTTGATGACAAATGGGTATAATGATGGGTATAATGATGTGTATAGTGACAAATGGGATACGGTATCATTGTACTAAGAAATGATGGGTATGGTATATTGTCAACTATATGGTTTTTGGATGTTTTTGGATGTGAATGGGCTAGATTCACATGAATAAAAGCATCAAACTGTTGGACTTAGCCATCAGCAATTGGGGATTTACAGTTATGGCCCTTTACCAGTTATAAGTACTTAACCCCATTTATAGAATGTATAATTCCATAGAAATAAGCAGTTATAACTAATAGCCATGGCCTTAACTGTAAGAATCCGATGGGAGAATCGGGCACCAACGATGGAGATCAACCCATTGAACTACTTCTGTTGAGAGCTAAGGCACTGTCAGGATGAGGAAGACTTGGTACAGGATGACCCCCCCAAGTTATGTTTGTTGGTTTAGTCATCGCCGAATTTTGGGTGTCAGAAACATCAGCAACCTTTACCCTCTGGTAATTTATAAGTTGGTTTATAAACCATGAAAGAATCCCCATGAACTATAGTTTTAATCTACCATAAACCATAGAATTCAGCCACTTGTAAACCAACTGAACGCTATCTTTGGGGGCCCCATCCCGTAGAGAAGTGACAAAAATGGGTCAACCCCCACAAGAATGAAGGTGTTTTTTGGGTTTTGAGGGTGAAGTGATAAAGAAGATGGTGATAGCTACAGACATGGCGACAGTTCCTGAAATAATTATGGTGGTACTTGCTGGGGATATAACAAAGAATATGATGGGAGCTGTGGATCCATGTTTGGATGAAACGGGGAGCTAAAAATGGTCCTAAAAATGGACTTGTTTGAATAAATAAACACATAGAAGCTACAAACATGACACGGCTACAAGCTACAATCATGACATGAGACATGGCTTAAACCACATGTGCCGATTGATAATTGAACCAAATATGTTGATGGCTAATTACTTCAGCTCCGCTGATGACATTCACATGAATATGGAGGAGTCCTAAGGCATGGGGTTACCCCTTCATCCAAGTCATGGGACCACGTAGGTTCTTGATATGATGTTGTCTCACCTATTTGAATATCACATACTGCACATTTCTGGGTGGGTCATAGTTTTGGGTATAATGTTTGAATGTGATGGATACAGCCAATCGTATACATACATATATACATATGCATATATGAATAATTTGGTATAAGAGAATATCATCCACAATGAAATATGATGAATTATGGTATGTCCTCGGAATATGTCAGACTGTGGAATAGTCACACAACCATTAGCCACACAACAATGAGTTCTGTATATGTCAACGAGGTATCCCCTGGCAAACTATCAGTTTGCTATAGAAAATCACCATTTTGAATAGGTAAATCAACCAACTAAATGGAGAAATTTCAGTAGCTATGTTAAATTACCAGAGGGTATGTGTACGTCTGTGCAACCCTGGTTGGATCGCCCTGATGCAGCCAAGGCTTGCACGAGTTGTTTGGAGGAGTCGAGAACTCGAGAACTCGCGGGGAAGTTGACTATGTCTGAAGATGGAAAGATACAACCAACATTGATGGGGATAATATATTATATATACAATGTGAGGCCCCCAAGATATAAGTTGGTTTATAAGCCCCAGTAACTATAGTTATAAATACCATAAACCATAGTTATTGGAGTTATAAACCAACTTAGCTATCTTGGGGGCCTCACATTGTATATATATATATATATATATATACAGTGCAAAACTACATGGTAAGCGGCGGATAGAACGCCGCCTGTTTTTCCAACCGTTGCAAGTTCACTTTCCCTGTGTTTTCTCAGGGTTTTCTGCTTTCGTCCATTTTTTGGACCCTCTCAAATCCTACGAGAAACTACTTTGTTTTATCAATGTTGTATCTGTAAGTGTGTATTTCTTTCTTTCACAAGCTTTGCAGGACGTGAGTTAAATTTTGATACACTCCAACCTCGCGAAGGAAAGCGTTCAAAGACTACCATTAAAATCCTCATGAATCCCATGACTTTAACAACAAACAATGGAATTGGTAAAAGCATGTAAAAAAAACCTGGGACATACCTGGGACATAGTCAGGCAACAGCATCACATCCAGAGCGTGTTTCAAAATATGTTGAAAAGTACAGAACATAACATCATTAGCGTGTTACAAGTTCCTTGAAGAAGTGCAGAGCGTAACATCAAGAGCGTGAGGGAAGTTCCTTGAAGAAGTGCTGAGCGTTACATCAAGAGCGTGTTGGACGTTCCCTGAAGAAGTGCAGAGCGTAACATTAACAGCGTGTGAGAAGTTCCTTGAAGAAGTGCTGAGCGTAACATCAAGAGCGTGTGAGAAGTTGCTAGGAAAGAGTTCTGACCGTAACATCAAGAGCGTGTGAGGAGTTGCTCGGAAAAGTGCTGAGCGTAACATCAAGAGCGTGTGAGAAGTTCCTTGAAGAAGTGCAGAGCGGAATATCAAGAGCGTGTTAGGCAAGAGCGTGTCCCACGCACTCTGCACATGACGTTAATACCCCGCCCCACCCCACCCCACCCCATCGACAGAGCAAGACCGCGTGAGAAAAAGTAGAAGAGACACAGAAAAACGCACGAAAGCTGGCGGCGTTCTATCCGCCGCCAGGTAACTACATACAAATGGTAGGATAGTACTTTTCTATGTTTTGTTTGTGGGCTATCCATACATATGTATCCAGTTCGCATAAGGGGAATGCACTGAAATATGGTTCATGGATATCAGTCGCAGGATTTAGCACTCACCACTGGGGATTTGCTTGGATGTTTTATGGGGGAATTACCCTCTGGTAATTTAACAGTTCGCTATTGAACATGGCCCATCTATAGTGGATTTACCTATGAAATAAACCATGATTTTCCCCGCAGAACCTACCTTTGTTCTTCTATTTCATTGAATGTTTCATTTCAGTGTCAACCATCTGCCATCTGCCATTCGCTACACACAAAAGAAAACCAAAGAACAAACAAGTAAGCCTATTTAGTAATTGGGGTGGACCCCAAAAAAACCAAAACAAAAAACAAAAATGAGAACCTCCCTCCCTCTCCCAACCCCGAAACCTTTTCTATCCCCGCCAGAACCGCCGCTTCACAACACAGCACCGAGTGTTTGCCCTGATCCTTTGCGTTGCTTGTCGCCGTTCCATCGGCGGTTAAGCGACAAGCTGGGCCCACCTGGTTGCCGACAAAGCCTCCACGGGAGCATCAAGCTTCCCCGCTGGGACAAGCTGATCCTGGCAGCATCGTCCGCCCTGGCAACATGGTTCTACCATGTTCTACCACGCAACTGAATTCCATGTGGTCACAGGCAATGGTCAGTATCCATTTCAGAGGCGAGCACCTACGCGATTCTCCCCGCAGCAGAGTTTTGTCATTCGGGATTGACATTTTCAGCAGTTCCTTGTTTTGACGTCCGGCAAAGTGCAGCACCTCGTCCATTTTCCCCGTGTTTGATGGTTAAATCCCATGAAGCGAAGCATTTAAACATCCAATTAAATCCGTGTGAAATACCACCATTTTTGTTGGTGAAATCACCATGTCGGTTCCATCAAGTTCAGACCGTTGCTGGCTGCCAGCGGCTGCGGCATGTTGATTCCAATCCCTGGAATCTGTGGTGAACTGGTGGTTGTTCAAACATGGCCCGGAGTCCCGGAGGTGTTTTTTCACCAACAAAAATTGATTTTTTTCTTGACATTGACGGGATCTTGATTGGATGTTCATGGTGATTTTATGGGGTTTCACAGGATTTTTGTGTGATTTCATGGGGAATCTGTGGAATTATTGGGAGTTAATCAGATTTCATAGGGCTTTCATGTGGGGTTGAATGGGATGTTTCTCATGGGATTTAACCACCAATCATGGGAAACAATGTAACTGCAGGAATACCACTGACCACATTGTGATAATCCCTTTTTTTCGGTCCATCCTGGATTTGTGGGGCCCTTTTTTGTTGGTCAGGAGAAATTCTTTTGGAAAGGAGTTTGCTCGGATGCCTGTCCGTTGCGAACCTATCCTCCGGCCACTGGCATCTCAGCAATAATCTGGAGCCGAACGAAATGGCATGAAATGGCTATATCAATGGGAAAATCATCTACTGACTTGGTGATTTTCCATTGCCATGTTTTGATATCAACATGTTAATATGTAAACAATCGAAGCGGATGCTGTGAGCGCACAACATGGCTACAAATCAAAATGGTGTATCAATAGCCGGCCCCCAAAGAATCATGCATAGTGATGCCCCAGTTCGATAGCTAAGTTGGTTTATATCTTCAATAACCAGGACTTATGGTATAGATATAGATTGGGACGTCTTATAAGAATATTTTTATCTGCTTATGACACCTCAAAATCAGGGATTTTCCTAAAATAAGACCCTACCAAAAATGACCTGCCCCAAAACTGACTCAGTAATAAGCAGATTCCAGGAATTTGGGAAAAGTGGTGGAATTGTGAATCTGCTTCTTACAGGTCAATCCCAAAAGGTGGATTGTTTTTTTCTTCTAAATATGTATATATATATATATATATAATTATATGTACTATATATATATATATGTTTCTGAGCAAGTGTGTGTCCCACAGTGTGTGTGTGTGTGATAGTCCGCGATTTTATACAGCCTCTTGCAAATGAATGGTGATGGCCCTGCAGTCACTGAAAACAGTGAGAAAATGATGAAAAATTATGTAAAAAACAATGAAAACAATGAGAAAATGATGAAAAACTATGGAAAAAATGAAAACAATGAAAAAATGATGAAACACTATGGAAAAAACAATGAAAACAACGAGAAAATGATGAAAAACTATGGAAAAAATGAAAACAATGAGAAAATGATGAAAAACTATGAAAAAAACAATGAAACCAATGAAAACAATGAGAAAATGATGAAAAACATTGCAAAAACAATGAACACATACTGAAAAGGTCTGGCTCGAGGACTTCGACCCATCCACCCGGGGTACTACAACGGGGCACTACAACGGGGTACCACAACGGGAAACATAATGGACTTTTCATTTTTTTCATTATGTTTTTCATAGTTTTTCATCATTTTCTCATTGTTTTCATTGTTTCTTTCATAGTTTTTTCATCATTTTCTCATTGTTTTCATTGTTTCTTTCATAGTTGTTCATCATTTTCTCATTGTTTTCATTGTTTTGTTTTACATAGTTTCTTTTAAAAATCATTTTCTCAATGTTTGAAATAAAATGGTGTCAAAACATTCAAGACCTGTAACTAGCAGATTGTCAATCTACTTATCACCCCCCATTTGATAGGAGGACACTATCAGGTGTTCAAAGGACAGTGTTCAAAGAAACCGAAAGGACCTGTAATAAGCAGATTAACAATCTGCTTGTCACACCCCACATGATCGCCATGGTAGATAAGAAGGCTCCAACACAACAGAGCATATTATAGGCAAAATCCAAAAGACCACCAAAATGGACAACTTTAAAAACATACATAAATAAATACATATATATATGTGTGTGTGTCTATTTTTTGTTTATATGTTCTTTGCAAGGGTCAAGTCCCATTTTTGGGGATGTCAGGAAAATATGTGGACTTGCGAAAACAACACAAAAGTTCGGGCATCTCACTCAGATATGCTAGATGAGGGCACATGCCGGTTCACCAATGTTGAAGCCTTCATTGACCCTGATAAATTCCAGGGCGTAGCCCAATAAATTCCAGGGCGCAGGCGTCGCCCAATAAAATCTGCACGGTAACAATTACCTCAGTAGAAAATTAAACTGTAATAAGCAGATTTTGGATCTTTGGGGTATAAATGCATTTTGGACTGTAATAAGCAGATAAACCTCACGAGTGGTGAGGGTTTTGAGCAATCTGCTTGTCTGCTGGCAGTGGCATAAATCTGCTTCTTGGGTGTCCCCGTCTATATATCGAACTAGTTGATGGGGTTATAAGTTATAAACCAACGTTCACATCACTGGGGGGGTACCACATTGTGGGTTTCATTGTAGGTTTCATTATTCCATAATATATGGGAATAATCATCCCAACTGACTAGTATTTTTCAGAGGGGTTGAAACCACCAACCCGTTTTTTTTTGGTTAGTAAAACTTCACCTTTCCTCTGAAATCGGCTGAGAGTGTTTCTCTGTTTTTGGTGAACCCGGAGAGCTCTCTGGGCCAAAAAGAAACTCCATCAAAAGACATATCGTTTGATAACAAACTCGATTTCACTTAGTTTATCAGTTTAACATGCCGCCCAAAAAAACAGAGAAACTTTGACCTCCACCTTTAAATACTCCATTCTTACTCAGTTACCCAACCAATGGTGACATTCCATTTCCATATTCTATTCCCATATGCATTCTACCCTACTTGGAAGGTCGTCCCACTTAGAAACTGGCTAATAACCCTAATGATTGTAAGTCCCCTTAAAGGGGTTATTCTATTTGCACAATACATATCTATATCTCTCTATATATATAATAAGTAATATTTGTATCTTATATTTTGTACATATACTGTAATATACACAGGTGGGTTATAAGATGGCCCATTCACTAACCAGTCACGATCCACTGGATGGTTTTGTAGACGCCGAGGCAACAAATGCCTGAAATGCGCCTTGGACAGCTGTTGGACCTGTGAAGGTTCTGCCAAGAACTGCACCAGCTGCGAGGCGAAGATGGACCGCCGGTGTTCGGGATACGTGTCATCTAAGGCAAGGGAAAATGTCCCCGAAGTTGATCATGAAATGTCATGAATGGAGGGTTTGAGTGGGGAACAAAATCATTTATACATGGCGATGTTTTAGGATTTTTGTCAGGAAACCATGTTTGATTGCCGGAGGGAACTCTGCGCCTTTGGTCCTCACCCAGTGGAATTACCACCTGGTAATCAAACATAGCAATGGAACATCGCCATTCTTAGTAGATAAATCAGACAAATCGCAAGAGAACGGATCTTCCGCAGCCATGCTGTGTAAACAGGAGGACATGGGTTTTAAGGAACCCCTACAGGAACGGATTAAGCAAGCAGTCGTCGTCCTCAAGTTTGTGTGACACTTGGACTGGTGGCTTCCGGCCGGGTAGTCCGCACACGACCCGTGGACCAGATGCAGGGCGGGGGTGATGATCTGACAATTGGCGTCAAGGCCAAACTAGCAGGGACAATTCTGTCTCAGCTGGGAGAGGTCCCTGCCAATGCAGAGAAGGTGGGAGCAGCTCTTGCGGCTATCAATGAACTTACATTCAATGGAAGGGCTGACTGGGCAAAGTTTGTATTTTTTGAACAGCACTGCTGACCAGAAACTCTCTGGCAGCAGAAGCAATTTGAACAATTTGTCATGCCTTGCATGACCAAATAAATGGTTATGCTTGGGGACAATTTAATAAAGCTGATATGAATCAATTTCTTTATCCAAGTCCATGTTAAATATTGCCAACAATTGGATTTCCAAGCTTTCCCCTATTAATAAATTCAGTTTAAAAAAAAAAAACTAAAATTGATCAAATCCATTTTAAAAATCCATACAATGCCCAAAGTTGGAGTTCCAAGCTTTCCCCTAGTAATGAAATCAAAACCTCGCTTTGATTAAAATATATTCGATTTCAAAATCGATTGAATACCTCTTCAAATTCCATATGAAATATTGCCAACAACCGGAATTAAATTACAAGCTGTTCCCTAATAATTGATCTCAGACCTTTACATAAAAAGAGGATCGATTTCAAGATCGATAAAATCCCTAATTAAGATCAAACGTTGCCCGATATTGGATTTCGAAGCTTTTCCGGAATAATAAAACCAACACCTTAATTAAGAAAACAAAACATTTGATTTCAAAAGGCGGACCCCAATAATATGATCATATGCACCCCAGGGTTGACTAGTTTTTATTAGGGGCTTGAATCGCATGTTGAGGTCTTCTGGCCTGCGATTGCTGTTCTTGAAAACACACAGTTGGACCAGGTTGGACCACAGTTGGATCATTTTCTTTATTTAAGGTGCACATTTAGTAGGGGAAGGGATTACTAGCAAAGTAGCACCAAGGTACCGAAAACCCCTCTAACATGTTTAATATATCTGCCTGTTTCATATGTTTTATATGGGTACAAATATAAGGTGGTAAGCATAGGATGGAGACCAGTCGTCGCAGTGCCGCAGGCGCGGAAACAACTGCTTCTGGACGAAAACGACGCCTGGCTGATCCTATGGGGGGGTGTTTGAAGTTGGCTTCAAAAAAACCTCAGTTAAGGCCCTTCACCGGATGTGGCTGGTTGTAAATGTGGTTACTCTTCCATAAGATGGGCATATATCGTACTTCTGATTATATAACTGGCAAAACTGGTAAAGGGCCATAACTGCAAGAATATTATAAGTATCAGAAACCAGAGTGAAATTGGAGTTCTGTGGCGCCCAACTTAGCCATCGTAAACGGGGTCCTCACTTTTGTATGTTTGTTGGTTTCTCATCCCCATCGAAGTTTTTTTGGTGATCACCATAAACCATGGTGGTGCCCCCCGCCGTTAAAGAAGTTGGTTAGGATTTATCGTAGATATATATATAGATAGATAGATAGATGGATAGATAGATATATTGATATATAGATAGTATATAATAGATATGTATAGATATATACCACCATTATATATATATATATATATTTTATTGGTGTGATTAAAACACAAACCTTTGCCTGATTTATCGTAGCACCTTGTAGCGATTTTTTTCGCTGCTCTTCACATACCGGAGATGAGCATGGATAAGTTTCACTAAAGGTGTACTTAAGGGACATTCCTTGTGGGATATCCCCATCCCCAGTCTACCCATCAAAATCAGATAGTTACTCGACTAGTAGTCTTGTTGATCAAAGGCGTATTTCTTAAGGATGACTCGCACGTGACTTTCTGATCATCCTGTTCACCTTTCAAAGAGATTCTAATAGACGATGGGTATACCTAATTTCTATTCATCTTTCCCTGCATAGTAGTGGTGCCCCCTAGATAGCTAAGTTGGTTTATAACTACAATAAGTAGGACTTATGATATTATAGATATATCAGATATATCTATAGTTGATGGGGATTATAAACTAACTTATAACTGGGGGTACCACATTGTAGGTTTCAGTGGTGTTGTGGGTTAACTAAGAAACTACGAATGTGTCACGGAATTCAGTGGCTTATCATCATGTTTCCTTTATCAAAATGTGTGTGTTTTCCAAGGTTCACAGGTATACCCTCCAGTAAACTAACATAGCTATAGAAAATGTACCTGAGTTCGATGATTTACCTATTGAAAGTGGCGATTCTCAATAGTTATGTTAAATTACCAGAGGGTACCTCATTTTTCAGACACACCCAGACACACATATCTCATTCTTGTTAATACGCTCATTTCTATCCCGACCACGCTACCAGGTCTCAACCACTGCTTAGCTGTCCGCCTCTCAGGAATGCGTTGGGAGCTGCCCCAGCCGAAAATATGCGGTGGACGGCACATGCCAAAGCCACTTCGGCTCAGGGGGTTGTGAACCATCCAACATGGGCAAGAACTAAATGACCAAAAAAAAGGTGGTTTCCTCAAATGGGGGTACCCCCAAATCATCAATTTTCATAGGATTTTCCATGAAATAAACCATCCAGCTATTTTGGGGTACCAGTACCTCCATTTTAGGATACTTCCGTATGTATATGTATATATATATTTATTTATAGATAGTATAACCGGCATCCATGTTCTATCCGATGGTCGTTTAACAGACCCTGGCAGCCTGGATCTCTTCATGGTCTGAGCTCTAGGTGATTTGGAGATATCGTTTATTCATCAAGCATGAGTTGCCCTCCGGTACACATACAAAAAACTACTGGACAATTCCCTTTTTAATGGGTAAATCAACGAACTAAATGGTCATTTTTAATAGCTATGTTAAATTGAGTTGTGAACCTTACCAGTTATTTCTATGGTGACATAAATGGGTTTATCATTCCATGAATGGGGTCATTTCACTGACTTATAACTGGTAAAAGGGCCATAACTGTAGGGGTTACGCAAGTCACAATATTCATGAGTCACAATAATGCTGTTTTGATATACACATGGTACTTTAACAATTGAACAGCTTAGGGGTCAAACAATCCAGGGTCAACATTAACATTATTCATCAAACCATATCAAACCATTTTACAACAAATAATGTTTGCCGTTGTGGTGACCATCAAACAAACATGAATTTAGCTGCCAATTTGACGATAAGCAATCCAGAATACCAACAAACGTAAGAACTTTATGCCACAACACGGTCACAACACGTGCAGAATCAATCCAAATGGTACGGGGTTGACACAACAAACAATGGGGAATGATAACATTACTCAAAGAATATATATATACGTGTGTATATATTTGAATGAAAAGAGATAGATATTCAACTGGGATTGTCCGGAAATAGGATATCCCTAGATGCATTTTGTTTTTAATGAATCATTATTGGTGTTATACCGCCCCATTTTCAGACGCACCCATATCAAGAATCGGGAATTCACTACTTAAGGTTCTGGTTCAACATGTTCTCTTTCCAAGTCTCGTCGTTGGATGTGCATAGAAAGATTTTGCGAAGAGGACGTACAACTGGTGATTCAGGTTCTTACCCTTCGGGCACAAGCACTGCAATGGAACATCCTTATGAACACACTCTGCTGTTTGTCTACAAAGGCTGGATGTTCCATCAAATGTACATATATCTCCATGTAGCATCATGTAGCATCTCCCTTTTTGATGACTAACCCCCAGGAAACTCCCATTGTGTTTTGAGTTCATTTTCCCCCGTTTGTTGGTGAGTTTAATGTCCGCATTTCGAGAAATCCAAGTTCTGAAGGTGAACATCCCCCCCGTCAGGGCAATGTTGCATCCCAATGTTTGTCATGGCGAGACAACAGATCTAACGTTAATCTAACGTTTATAAAGCAAGACAAATCACGGCCCTGGATAGCTTTTAAAAAGGACTGTTGTGCCTTGGATGTGCACCCCACGTATACGTGGTGTATCCATATCTAACCTACAATGTGGTACCCCCCAGTGATGTTAGTTGGTTTATAATCCCATCAACTAGTTTGATATATCTACCATAAGTCCTAGTGAAATTGGAGATATTGGCACCAACTTAGCTATCGAACTGGGGCACCACAAGATAGCTAAGTTGGTTTATAAGTGGCTTAACAATGGTTTATGGTAGATATAACGAACTAGTTAATGGGGATTATAAGGGTTTATAAACCAAATAACATGACTGTGGGGGCCCATCCTGTATATGTCATCCCATAGTTTTTGTGGTCATCATTGGGATGCATCCCCAAGCCTTAGCCTGGTCCAAGTTTCGCCCTTCACCTTGGCCGGTCATGGCTGATATTTCATGAGCGGCTGCAATTTACAGCCTTGTTGGGAACGAACATGTCTGTGGACTTAGACTATATTTTACTATCCTTCATTATGGTGATTTAGCCCATGTATAAATGATAAAAGTATAAACATTATGATTTACATTTCAAAAACTGATGTTTTTTCCGATTCGCAACCGTTCATGTCGCAACGGGTTTTTTCTATTGGGAGCGCATCATGAAATCCATGTTCACAACTCGGTCGCCATGGCCATCTAAGATCAACAACAATAACATAACAATTATGGTAGATATATCGAACTAGTTGATTGGGTTATAGGCCAACTTATAACTGGGGGGGTACCACATTGTTTATATACATATAATTATATTATGTGTGTAATAGTATGTAATAGTTTAATAAATATAGGTATACCGTATACTATCCAGCCAACATGGACCCTGCAGGCCCCAGCAATTCTCAGGGCCCTTGGATCCTGGATCTTCACTCGGACCGTGGTTCAGACGGATGGCCGAAGGGCTGGAAGCCGCACCCGCTGGGATGCGGTTTCTTCGGATGAAACGAATCAGAGAGTTGTGACCGCGACGGAGAACTTCCTGCGAGGAACATCTCGGGTACAATCTATGTTCTACTAAAGCCACCAATTATCAATGGTTGGTTAGATGGGGAAATTTATTCCATGGCCGTTTTTGAGTGACTAATAGACTGGTATAAAAGGACCATAACTCTTACTACCTTGCTATATCTTTTACATGTGATGTGGTACCCCCCAGTGATGTGAACGTTGGTTTATAATCCCATCAACTAGTTCGATATATCTACCATAATTTCTAGTGAAATTGGAGATATTGGCACGAACTTAGCTATCGAACTTGGGGCACCACTAGGCATATCCCCATACCTTCTCATTATTCCCATTGATAACGGATTTTCCCATGATATCCCATGATAATCCCTAGGGGTGCCACATTGTATGTGATGTTGATCGCACTCCATCGGGAAATCCCAATTGGATCGCTCGACCCGGGCAGACACCACTGAGGATGTGACCTTTCTTGCAAGAGCTGCGAAGGCAGAGAGTCAGGGCGGGCCCTGGGGCGGTGACTTTTTCTCCGGCAATTGTGAGAAATCCCATAATTGAATAGGAAAAAAACAGGGAAAAACATTGGAAACATGGAAAACATATGGAAAAAATCGCTATAATAAATGGATATATGCACAGGAGAATCCTTGAACTGTTGCTGGTGGATTTTCCAGCAAGCCATGTTTGAGTACTGGAGTGTGAGCAACAGTTTGCTAATTCTGTGATCTTCCAAGTACATCATTATCCTTTTGGGATACTCATGCACTATATTCCCAACTTTGCTTGGTTTGTATTCCACATTTTCCCAAAACAAAACGGCTTTTGGTTGATGCCATGTTCATCTTACTAGTGTTACTGTTTAATCTTCATGTGTGTGATGATGTGTCTACAATGCGGGGCCTCCTAGTTCTGTTGATTTATACCTCCATCCTATGCCTATTTGAATCATGGCCCAACAGGTCACCCAGCGATTTCCACCAACTCCATAAAAATCAACCAGATGTCCAAATGATTGCGTGGTTTTTAATCTTAACTTTTGCAGCTTAACTCACTATTTACCTATCAAACTTGGCCCCCCAGCTTGAAAAATCCCCAATTTCATAGGTGAAATCGTCCCAAATAGCATATATACAGTATATATCTGACTTCGCAACTGCTTCAGAACCAGATTCCCAGGGTTTTCCATCATTTTCCCCATGTTTTTGATGGCTACCCTCTGGTAAACTATATAACATAACTATGGAAAATCACTATTTTTTATGGGAAAATCCACTAGAAATAGCCATTTTCAATAGCAAATTGTAACAAATTACCAGAAAGTAAGTTTCAAAAAGCACTCGAAACGTCGTTTTTTTAGAGTGCCACGTTTCACATGACGCGACGCTGGCCAGGCTCCGCCACGAGTTGTACGAGCTGTACTGCCGAGCAGGTCTTGGATGAGAGCAGCTGTGTGGATAGTCCCTTTGGCTTTTGATGGAGATTGGGGATGAAGCAATAGGAAAACCATAGGAAAACCATAGGAAAACTATAGGAAAACCATAGGACTGCCCTAGAAAACTATAGAAAACTATAGGAAACCCTTAGAAAACCAATAGGAAAACCATAGGAAAACTATAGGAACAGGGTAACTTAAGCAACAAGAAATGGTGGAATTCAGATTTACCAATGGATCCCATAGGGGATTGACCAAACAAAACCAAAAAATCTATGGAAATCGTGGGATATGGGTGAAATCTTCAGATTTCAGTTGTGACCCTGCCAGTTATAACGATGTGGATCTTGGGTGCCAGCATTTTTACACATTTTTACGATAGCTAAACCCATAGGAAGATGGTGACTTAACCAACAAAACCTGTGGATTTCATGGGATGTACCGGATGTACCCATGGAACGCCGTTGACGCCCCATTGGTTGATGATTATATGGGGATTAGCCACTAAATAATTGGAAAATATCTGGAATGAATGGGGATAGAACTGGAAAATAACATAAAATAACCTTTTTTTATGGGGAAATGTCATGGGTTGATAGCGGGCATTGCCGTCATGGGATTTTTAGCGAAAAACGTCTTGTTTCCGTCGTCTTGCATCAACAAGAGCGGATCCAGGAAGGCGGAGATGGTGATGAAACAAGACTGGTAAACGTTTACAGTTTGCTAATGTTTGCGAGCTGGAAAATTGCCAAGTGATAGTTGATTTACCTATGAAAACAGTGATTTTCCATGGGTAAAAACCAGAGGATAACTGATTATAAATGTGGTTACTTTTATAGAGGGGATGGTTCCACTGACTTATAACTGGTATTTTGGGCCATAATTGTGTACGATCATATAGCTGTAGATAACCGTACTGTATGGAGATGAGATGACTGTTATCCCATTGACCCAAAGTGCATCTCCAAGTCGGAAATAAATACACAAAGACCATATGGAAAAAAATATGGAAAATATACTGTAGCCAAAAAAGGATGGAACATGGTCATATTCACTGGGGACATATAACATAATGGTAAACATTGTGGCATAATGGACGATTTTTATGCAAGCAGAAAATCAGACTTCCGGTTTCCGCGCGTTTCCACTCACAGCAATTTTAAGGGAAGATTTGATGATTACTATCATGTGAGGCTGGCCAGTTATGTTTGTTGGTTTAGATTCCCCCCATGAATACTATAGTTATTTGCGTACCATAGTTTCGACTATAGTTATTTGCGTACCATTAACATTAACTCTCTGTGTTGCTGGCCAGTTATAAACCCCATAAACCATAGATATTGGAGTTATGTGAACCTCAACGCTTCACGCCTTCGTAAACGACAACGGGGGCCTGACATTGAATGTATCGAATGACCATCCCCATGGGACCGGTCGGACCGGACCTACCGCGCCACGAGAACTGCGCGCCATTTTTTAGTTGGATAGTTGGATACAAATCAAACCATAAATTGGAGGATATATTGATATATGATATTTATATACATATATATGTGATATATTGAAATATATTATATATTGAATATATATATGATATATGATATATATTATATTGAATTTTAATCTCATATTATTTTCCTTTGTTTGCTAGTGCGATGCCACTGTATGCCACAATCTTGGTAATGAAGAGTTTACATTCAAATGATGTTAACCAAGTTTTCTCTCCTAATCAGCAAACCTATTTTCTCGATAAGTCAAAACATAATGTCATATTGTTGTCATTTGTCATCAGAGATTCTTCAGACTTGTTTGTTTGTCATTACATTTTTTTTAGCCCTTAACAGATCTTAACAGTGTTAACTGGTTTATAATCTCATTAAGCGACAAAAAAACCCTAGGTACAGGCGTTATTTCATCCCATTCCCATAGCTGTTCAGAGCCATAGCTGTTTGTCACTGATTTTCTGTCATCAAGTTTACGATTAAATCTTCATGTTTGACCCATAGGATCCATATATGGTATATATGGTAACATTTACCATCAATATACCCCCAATGTTACCATATATAGCATACATGGATCCTATGGGTGATGATCTGAGCAGTGTTGATTGTCAACTCCCAAATCAGATCTTGTTACAGTCATATCAAAAAATGTATCACATATACCACGGATATCAAGTTACCTTTTCAATACATGTGAGTTTGAGTTAAAATGCATGCGATCAACGCCCATATGGTTTCATATCATGAATATGAAATTGGCTAGTCGTATTTGCAGTATATACCAACCCAAAATGAGAGAACCGTGTTTCCAGGATAGAAAAAGTGATGTTTCTCACATAATATCCAGATTCCAAACAGTTATGGCCCGAAATATGAGTTATAAGTCAGTAAGTCACCCCATTTATGGAATGACCCCCATTTATTTCACCATAGAAATAACTTCTAAAGTGCCTTTTACTCCATTTTTCTCCAGGTTCCCAAGGTGTTTTTTTTCTCCGACATATCCCCTGTGTGACGTCCAGGTTGCCCTGCGGGGAAGTTCGAGTTGAAGGGCAAATGCCGACCTTGTCCCTTAAACTCCACCGCGAAGGGATGGAGATTCGCCTTTACAGTTGCAGTTACAAGTACTGATAACTTATAATTAACCCCATTTATAGAATGTACAATACCATTGAAATAACCAGTTATAACTAATAAATGGCCCTAACTGTATGGCCCGAAATACCAGTTATTTTTATGGTGCAATAACATTTCTGGTTGGTGGTTTGGAACATGTTTTTCATTTTTCCATATTAAAAGGGCATGTCATCCCAATTGACTTTAACTCCATCAGTTTTCAGAGGGAAAATCTCTAGGATCGTCACCTTATTTCACGCTATTGGCTGGTTGATTGATGGTGAAAGCATGAGAAAAGCATGAGATGAAAAAGACGATAAACCAACTTCAATAACTTGGTTTAGCATCGATTTTGCTTCCCATAAACACTGATACACGATTAAATAACTGGGAAAAAAGGCTTTCCTGTATTTTAGATTGTAGTTTTAGCATGTTTTAATGGCGATCCGTTCAACCGAACGGACTTTCATGGGAACAACATATCCAATAGTCGTAAAATTGGAACTGACCATCAATGAGCCAATATGATACTTTTTTTTCTCCCCATGTAAGATAGCAAAATGAATTGGTAAACCAGGAAAAAGTTGGTGAACCTCTGTAACAAGGTGCTACCTCATGCGCAACTTGCAGTGAGACAGTGCCGCAGCAGCATTTTGTGGTTTTAAGCACTGGGTTTTCAGGGGGTTTATGGCATTTCGGATATCTGGGTCAAGCTAAATGGTGCCAGTCTAAAGTCTAAGATGATCACTATTTGGGTACTACCCAGGCCACAACAAAGCCTTGTGGACTTAATCCAGGCTTGACGTGAGGATCCCTGGGGTAGTCCGGGTATGTCTGGGTGGGTGGCTCGATTTTTTGATTCAAAGACACCTTTTGGACCCACATGGGATGATGAAAAAATCGACTAAAACCCACCAGTAGATGGCTTTGAAACCCACCAGCTTACGATAGTTTATCTGTCTGGGTAAATTATGACGACCGAACCCTGTGGCGACCGAACCCTGGAATCATGGTTTATTTTAGGGAAATCATCCCCAAATGGCCGAACTATTCAGGTTAGTGAAATATTATAATTTACCCAGATCTGTCATAGATGATGTAGTTTTAGCAGATACTGGTATGACATGGGATGTGATGTTTCGCAACGTTGTGATATCTGGCTGTGCAAGGAGTGACCCCCAAGACTCTCCAAGCGAACATCTTTAGTTGATGCCCTCAATCCAGGTCAAACTTTGATCTTTGATATGAATCTTGGGTCACATTAGTCACATTTCGATACTCAGATACTGTTACAGATACCCCAAATTTGTGGATAGTGAATCATTAAGAAGGACCAAAATCAGAGGTTCCCCAGGTCTTAGATGTTCACCGATATGTTCAAAGTCCATCAGTATGGGCGTATCGGACCATCACTCACAGCGGTATCAACCAAGTATGGGTCAAAAGGGTCAAAACTAGTCAATGGTAATTCCAGGATCCAAACATGGAGGTACTGTATAATATAAGGCCATATTTTGTGGGGATATTCCCTTACATAGGCCTTATATAGGGCTTTTATATGGTAGGTACCTCCAATTTAGGTTCCTGAAATGGCCATTGAACTAGTGCCCCTTTTCAGTCCCGTATCCATGATATCACAGACTGATTTACTTGGCCACTGTACGCTGGAATAGTTGCTGAATCTTGCGATGCTGCAACATTCCTAAATCTGAATATCCAAGTGCCCAATCTCCATGGGCAAATTTAGTTTCTGTTTCAGCATATTGGTTGTCAGGGTCAAATCCCGTTGTAGATCTGATTTCTTCGTCTGAGCTCTAGCTCTGATCACTGATACCTTAAAACATCCTATGGGCTAAACACCGGGGATACAACACGCATGGTTGAAGCCAGATCTGCCGAAGTGTGCGGGGCGTGCCAAAGTCGGATGGAATGACCTTCATATTTTTCAATCATGTTTGTCTTTATCTTCGAAATTGCGATAAGACATCAAATGTTCAGCAAAGTTTGCTGGCAAGGGTCGCACACTCAAGAGATACACGCTTGAGAAAGATGTCCAGGCCGGAAAAAGCTGTGTAACAGTTCTTGTAGTTGCATCAAAGCAAGTTTACTATTGTTTGGGGATCCTTTCCTGTATTTGTTTCACCATGTTGTTGATATTGCATTAAATCATACGATATGTCAAACTACATCTCAAATATATCAGTTATATTCCCACTATGTATATATATATATACATACATACATATATTCCACGTATATTCTTATGACGAGCTAGCCCAGCTAGGGTTGTTAAGTGTCCCATTATATCATCAACTATGTCATTGTGTTTGATACCCCCATGTTTTTGACACCCAAAGGAAAGGGCTCCCAATTGCAAGTTGGTTCTAAAACCCATCCATATAGTTTGATCATGTTTGAGGTATGTGTGTGTATATATATATATATACAATATGTATACATATATATAATAACTATATATATATATATGCGTGGGTGTGTTACAGTCTCATTTTTAGCCGAGAACATCGCTCATATTTTTGGGACATCTTTTTAGACGGCCAATGTCGGCCCTCTCGTCAGCCCTCGAGGCTGAGTCATGCACCGCTTGCACGGGCGAGTTGCTACTGGTGGAGGAGAAATGCCAAAGCAGCTGCCCCAAGGGCCGCTTCGCCAATGGCAAGGCGGGATGAGGACTGGGACGAACGACTTAAGCTGGGTGTGTCTGGAAATTGGGGTCCTGAAATTGAGCATTTTACAGTTGAGGCCATGGCTATTAGTTATAACTGGTGATTTCAATGGGATGAGAAACATTCTATAAATGGGGTTTTCTTAGTACTTATAACTGGTATAACTCGGGCCATAACTGTAGTGATGATAAGAATCCATTGGAATCCACGGTTTCCATGGGGGATCCCCACGGTTCATGACTTGGATGATGGATAAGGGGTAGCCCCATGACTTAGGAAGCCTCGATTTTTGTGAAAATCCAAAAAGATGGAAAGATCGGGAAAAAATATCAAGTCCAACTCAAATAGTGAAAAACACATACCATCTGGTTGTGACTAATAGTTTGCCATATGCTATTAAGAACGGTGAACCATCTATTTCGATTAGGGCCATGGCTTACCATGGCAAACTGTTAGTCATAACCAGAGGGTATGTTTGGCATCTTTTCAGGGGTCAATTGACTGCACCAAAAAAGGCGATTTCACCAGCATAATACTAGGATATTAAACACATGGTGCCGTACATATCTTCAACCACATCAGATGGGAGGTTGATCTGATTATAGGTGTATATATATATATATAGGATGTTGCCTGATTTTGCCCTGAAGTTATGGCAATCTCAATAAAATTATACAGGTAAGCTGATGATCCAAGCAGTTGATCTAGAGGTACTGGCATGGAACCATCCTGTGTTTCTGTGCGTTGAAGCACCAAAATCGTTTGTGAACTGAGCGTGAAACAAGAAGTTGGTTTGATCATGTGGGGTGATTAACTATAACATGGATTTAACCATTGTACGGTTCTGGCCTTCAACAGTTCTGGCCATGGGATTATGAGATATATTGTTAAACAGTTACAGGAGTTATTTTGTCCCATGGCCATAACTGGCTTTTTGGGGCCACTGTAGGGGATACACGCACGGACATTGCCACTGAAATGGGGACCACAAGGGACACCCGCGAGGCGCTAAGCCATAAATCATAGGAAAATCATGCAAGAACCATTTGACATGGGATGTTAACCAAGAAACAATGATAGGTTAATAGTGGGATAATAGTGGGGAACAACATCTATCAATTTGGATAATTTGGATAAAAACCTCACTGTGAATTTATTGCAGTGAATGTTTTTGGGCTAATCTATCGACAAGAGCGTATCAACGTGGACCAGCACGGGCACGCAGTCCTCCTCGGGGGATCAGATCGGACTCGGGTGGCTCATCACCGCTGCCAGCAACACAAGCCAGCTGGGCAGCTGAGAAGGATTCAGCGTGCAGATTGACAGTGCAAAAGTGGATTTTCTCAAGTTGGGTTTTGGCCATCTATAAAATTCCTGGACAAACTCATGTTGCACAGAACTGGAGGTTGCAAACCGCACTTCGACGCGCACCGATTCTGTCTGGATCTTCACAAGGCAACAAGGCAGATGGTGCAGCACCAAACAGTTTCTCGCAGCATCAAAATTATTCTACATTCGATCACACCCAAAAATGAAGAGGGCTGGGTTGGTGATATTGTGTTTGTTGAGTATCTGGGCAAGTCTTTCCACCAGCTGCACCATGTGTATTTGGAAAGCTTCAAGAAGAGCCGCAGAGCGTGTGACGAGGCTCCAGCATGCAGAAGGCCGTCCCACAATAGTCTTATTTCAGGCTGGTGACTCTAAATGTCTACAACATAATCATCCCAAGAATCAGGGTATGGACAATGCAACGCGACCATAGTGACCATTGTCCCATCCCCGTTACAAAGTTGGTGTATAAACACCACGAACTATACTTCTACCCTCTGGTAAACTAACATAACTATGGAAAATCCCCATTTTTAATGGGTAAATCCACTATAAATGGCCATTTTCAATAGCTATGTTAAATTACCAGAGGGTATCTCCCATAATCCCTAGCTCACCAAGTTAGGCACGCTAAATCCGGCTATCGCTTGGAGGCCTCACCTTGCCGTGCTCAAAACAGCTGGGTAAGTTGCTTGACCCCAGTCAAAGCCAGCCAGTGAATTGATTCAGCGCATTCCACCAGGATGTATTATATATATATAATATAATCCCATTTGATAATCCAATTATAATCCCATAATCCCAAATATCTATATCTATATATATATCTGGGTAATTTATAACGACCGAACCCTGTCCTCCCTCACTATAATAATCTATAATCATAGTTAGTAAGGGGAATCATCCCAACACGGCCGCGCTATTCAGGTTAGTGAAATATTATAATTTACCCAGATATATATATATACTGGTTGGTGATTTGGAACATTTTTATTTTCCCAATAGTTGGGATGATGATCCAATCTGACTTTCATATTTTTCAGGGGGGTAGGTATACCACCAACCAGTATATATATATATATTGTATATGTATACATACGTGTGTGTGCGTGTGTGTTTGTGTTTTGTGACCGGGAAGAGGGATCCTCGTAGCTTGTGACATGATTTCACAAGAGCTTTTGGGAGAAGACGTTAGTGATGACCCCTGCAAAGTGGCACCCAGCCAGTTATAATTTAGTTTATGCTCATGCAGCCATTTGCAGATATCCACCATAAACACACACACACATTAGTCCATCTACTTGTTTCCACCAGCTTATCTCACAAACTGGGTGTCACTTTGTGGAAGTTTCAAGCCTTGTTTGCAATGTTCGTGGTTAAATCCCATCATGTATCCACATCAAGAAAACTTCTCTGGTTGCAATCTATTGTCGCTAATATTCCACGTTCTGTCCCATTGTATCACATTGTAGCCATTAAACTCCCAGATTTGCGGCTTACAAAATTCGGTTATATCCACGTCGCATTACAACCTATTCCGTTTGTTTTTCTGACTTAAGCCATCTCAGAAACATGTGAAGCAACCTATAATATCCCATAATGCATTACAGATATCGTTCTATAGCCAGGTATAACGACCTCAACAAAAACGATTAAAGTGATATTTGTATGTATATATATATATATATATATTGTCACCGTAGTTGCAGGAGTTATTTGATCCCGGGACAACATCTGCTACAGTTGTGGCCCTTAGCAGTTCTGAATGAGAGTATAACTCCTGTAACTAACATGAATTAACACCTAAATGATTTTTTTTTGAGCCAGTTACAACTGTTTTTCTGGGGCTATAAGTGGCTAAAGGGCCATACATGGCCATACGTCCCATGAAATTTACTATTTTCCCATGGTTTTCCCATGGTTTTTCCATGGTTTCTTATGGTCCCCTATGGTCCGCAAAGCCACGTGACCAGGTTTGCGAGGTCTGTCACGAAACCTGCGCCACATGCACAGGTCACTGGGCGAAGACTGCAGCGCTGTCACTGGGTTTCCAAAGTCATAGGGGGTACCCCGCCACTGGATGGTTTTAAATGGAAAATCCGATCTAGAAATGGATGATAACTGGGGGTACCCCCATGACTTTGAAACCTCCATATCATCTGTATACACAATGTGAAGTTGGTTTATAAATGCATGAAGGCTATTAATATATATATATATATACACACAGTTTTGGCACTTTACCAATTATAAGTCTAACCCCATATATGGAATAGCAAGTTGGTGTATAAACCCCATCTGGGTCAACCGACTGGTACGATACTAACTAGTAATTACTTTAATCTTTTGCTATCAATGGTCAAGTGTACTCACCAGCTAAAAAATATATTTTTTGGCAGGTATCTAAGATTCACCATGAATATATCATATATCAATCAGCATCATCTACACACTGTGAAGTTGGTGTATAAACCCCATGAATACTATAGTTATTTGCGTTATTTGCGTTCGTTATTTGAGTTATGTGGGCCCCCAAGGTAGATATATCTTTTGAGGGGCCCACTTTGTAAGAATCGGGATTTTTGTTGGGTGAGTGTACATAGTGGTGACCCATAGATAGCTAAGTTGGTTTATAACTACAATAAGTAGGACTTATGATATATCTATAGTTGATGGGGTTATAAACTAACTTATAACTGGGGGGTACCACATTGTACGATCAACAGTGGAGGAGTCGTGATCTTCAACAGATTGGCAATTGACTCAAATCTAAGGGAACCATCATGGGTACAATGTGACCCCCCCAGTTATAAGTTCGTTTGTAAACCTCATGAACTGTCATGAACTATAGTTTTAACAATCATAAACCATAGTTTTGTGGTTACAAACCAACTTATATAGCTATTGTTTGGGGGGCACCATTGTATGTGAGATAATCATGACAATATGAGAAAATGGTTTGTCTGAAAATGGGGATACCCCAAGTTGTAGCCATCAATAATGGGGAAGACATGACCATAAACCACTGAAGTGGGACTCCAGCGTGCCTGGACCTTTGGCTGAGCATATCGAAGATACCTAAAACATCCTAAAACCGAATGAGACGAATGGAAACCCAAAGGCTAAAACAAACATGGAAGTCCTAGGTTTGTGGTTGAACACGGACCCAGAATAGCAGTTTCTGTACAGGATTGTACAGGTATAGCCCTCAACATCCACAATTATAACTGGTTTATTACCTCATGTCAGTCTGAACTACAGGAATTGTACTTCCATTTATAACTGCTAAAGGCCATAATTGTAGGGAACGCAATGATACCCCCCTTGGGATTTTCGGGCACCCAAGTTTCAAGCAAAGCGCTGGGCAGAAGTCATCGGCTGATGCAATTCTGCTGCATGTTTTTGCTGCGACAATGACCAAATGCCAATCTTGTTTAATGACCTTCACAAATTTGTTTCTGTTGAGATGGTTAGAACTTTAGAACTCCATCTATTAAAAAAACATGTTAAATCGCCCTGAATCGGTAGGGGCCGGAGGGGTCAGGCACCAAGTCCGACAACCCAAAACGCCAGTCGCTTGTCATCCTCTCAGGCAATGCAACCCACTGCACCAGAAACTTGTCATGAAAGTGGAGTAGTGGTTTGAAGCTGCAAACATCTTAGCGACCTGACCCTTTAAAATTACCATGGTTGATTCGTTCCTCTAGGGACTTATGCTACCAAATTTACTGGAGATTATGATATGATTATGATAAACCATAGTATGGAAGCCTATCAACCAACTAGTATAACTATGATGAATCATAAATCATCGGAAAATCATGGGTTAGAACTATTTTAAATGAGATGGGAGCCAGAAAAAGTCATGGCTTAGTGGGATCATCCGTAGGTGCCACATCCGTTGCAGAAAGCTATAGTAATGAGATCAGTCATCGGTGCCCAACAAAAAGTACCCTCTGGTTATTTAACATAGCCATGGAACATGCCCCATTTATAGATGGTTTACCTATTAAAAATGGCGATTTTCCATGGCTATGTTAAATAACCAGATGGTATCATATATATATAAAGGCTATCCTTCAAAGAATTTCATCAAAGGATAAAACACTGTGACTGATCCTTTGAATATTGTTCTTTTCAAAAATATGTAATGATCAAGTCGCACGGTGTAATTTCTAACGGAGATGCGATGCAAAAAATGTATTGGATATCACAGGGTTCTAGAGCATTGGGCTGGACCACTGGGTTGCTCTAAGATTCAGCAAATTTGGAACGATGTCGTTTGATTTTTTGTTAAACTTATAGTTAAACTTAGTTTATTGGTTGTTAGACTACCAAGCACCACTTTGTTTGCTTTTTTGGAGATTAGATCCAATCCGTAATCCTGAACCGGGTGATATTCCACATATTTCCCACATGCCTTACGAGTAGGGATAGAGATGACAATGAGCTACAAGGTGGGCACCCAGTTACAAGTTGGTGAACGAAAACCCCAGTAACTACAGTTAAAACATCTGATAAGTATCATAAGCCATAGTTATTCTAGGTATGTTCACCAAGATATATATCATAAATCGGCTAAACATCCCATGAAATCCACATGTTTCTTAGTTAACTTAAAATCTCATAAAACCCTTAATTATATTTGATAGACAAACCACATTTTTTTATCATCAACCAACCAACGACAATCATCAATTTCAGCCCCAATGGACTGGACCATGTTGAGACCACTGTCGACCATCCAGGAATTTCATCCGCATGGTGAGGGTCTTGTGTTTGTTTTGTCCAATGGAAAAAGGGAACCAGCACCAGTTGTGGCCTGAGTTATACCAGTTCTAAGTACTGACAAGTCACACCATGTATAGAATGTATAATCCCATAGAAATAACAAGTTTTAACTAATAAATGGCCTTAACTGTAGAATCTTCTGATATCTTCTGTTGCGACTGGTGAGAACTGTTGAGTGGTGAAGTCTGTTTTTCCATCCAACCATAGTGCGCTGACCCCCGAAGTGAAGGGAGTAAAACTGAGACGCATGCATTACTCTCTCATCTAAAACGATGTGCGTAAACCGCCGCAACAACTAGGATGAAACCCATGAAACCGAGTGTTAACAAACCAATCTTTGTTGATTCCACCACGACATTCTGGATGGTTCACTCCCTAATCTCCCTATGTTTGAGGCTTCAATCAGGCCACAAAGACACAGGTTTCACATGGTTCCACCCTGTCCTACTTGGATTTTCATCCCACTTAGTAAGTGGTTTATAGTGCATATATAAACCAACTTTTGGCATTTGTTTTGGAAACAAACAAATAGCACTTGCATGCAGCAAGTTGAGGTTACGTCTCCCATATAATCCAGTGAACACATTCCATGAATCAACCCCCCCTAGCCTCGTCCTAGGCTGTACGGAAAAGACCTTCAAAGATGCGGCCACGTGCGTGGACGAATGTCCAGCTGGCAAGTACGCCGCTGGCAAGGACCGATGGGCCCGATGGATTGACCGTTCTGTCGGTTCAGTCATGGGGGTAGCCCAGGCTCGCTGGATGGTTCTAAACTATCTAAACCATCCATGACTTTGGATTATAATGACATTTCATAGTCTAGGTACAACAGTTATATAAGCCCCATAGTTCATCATGTTTATCATGTTTATCAATTATAAATACCATCTGGGTATGACTAACAGTTTGCCATGGAAAGATCCACCATTTTATAGCTAGGTAAACCATCTTTTTCTATGGGCCATCTATACCATGGCTATGTTAAATAACCAGATGGTTATCATGTAATGGCATGTAATGGCTATTTATAGTTGATAAACTATGGGGCTTTATATAACTGTAACTATTCTAACTTATAACTAGACTATGTAATGTCATCATAACTCTCCAAAGTCATGGAAGGTTTTCGTATAGTTTATAGATATTTATACTGGAAAATCCCCAAATTAAATTGGATGATTTAGGGGTCCAACACCATTTTAGGAAACCTCCAAGTTTGACCAAGAAGTAAGAAGAAGTGGGTTGAATCAAAAAAACATGGGGATTCAGCTAGCAAACATTGGAATTGAACCCGAACCAGGTAAAGAAATACATTGGTAGTTGCAGGCTATCTACGATTGGCCATGAAGTTACCTGCAACTGTGTCAACTTCTTAACAAGAAAATAGAGGCAGCTCACTACAATGTGAGGCCCCAGTTCGATAGCGTTCAGTTGGTTTATAACTCCAATAACTATGGTTTATGGTATTTATAACTATAGTTACTGGGGCTTTTGTTAACCAACTTTCACATCATTGGGGGGCCTCACATTGTACATTTTACAGAAAGACCTTGGTAATCGCCGCAGGCTGATGAGACGACTTCTGTAGCAACGCACTTTCTGAAACAAATGGTGAACAGTTCATCGGCTGATCATTCCATTTTTATCATTTTTGATGATGGGATGATTTCACTAACTGAAAAAAACCCTCTGGTTATGACTAACAGTTTGCCATGGTATAGATGGCCCATAGAAATAGACTTTCCCAGCTAGAAACCTCCATTTATAAGGGAATTTCCGTGGCTATGTCAAATAACCAGATGGTATACCTGGTATAACTCGGGCCACAACTGTAATCACTGACCATCAGGAGAATGCCATTGATGCCATCGGATACATCTTGCCACCAGGGAGGATACATCACATACACAAAATCAACATTGGAAAAACCGTGGCAATATGTTTTGATTCTTGGAAACTTCCCCATTGGAACCGTGGAAAAACTTTGTTCCAGAAACTGTTGGACCATGCTTGAGAGATTCATAAAATTTTAATCAGTTTCTGGAACCAAGTCCTCATGACAGTGCACGTACGAACGTACTGCTTAGGCTGGGTCAGCAATATTGGCTTGTCTACTTGCACACCAGATCCTGGTTACGGAGTTGCTCCAGGAAATCCTTGACAGATGGTCCGTCGTGCGGGTTGTCGACGGCCAGCAACCACAGTGCTGGACATCCTGTAACGAAGCGAGGTCACACTACGCATGTGAGCATATCGTCACGGTTCGCTGGATGCTAGGGGATCCGAAGGCTGATCCGACTCCTTCCGTTCTTACAAGCCAACGAGAAATGGAACGACGACCCGGCGCCCCACCCAGCCGTGTGCTGGGCAACAAGCGACAAAGTGATGAAGCTGCAGAGAAAGTGGAAGCCAGAAAAAAAGCGAAAGAAGCTTTGTAATTGTGGTTAATGTTGGTTGATTATGATTAATTCTGATTGATTATGATAAATTATGTTATATAAACCATAATCAACAATAATGTTAATTATGTTGTTATGATATGTTATGATTGATTGTTAATTATGTTATTATGTTAATGAATTATGGCTAATTCTACCCCCTACCCGAGACGGTTGGTTCAAGTGGGACTTAAATGATGGGTTCATGTGGGAACCAGTAGATGGGATGGGGTACAGTAGTACCCTTTTTGTGTTCAGACACAACCATTTGTTTTTTAATGACATCATGAATCATGACAGCATTCATGCCATCCAGTTGTTTGGCTCAGCAAAGTACTTCAGGCTGACATGGGTTTCACGGAAGGGAAACCTAAAATTTGATGTTTTATCAGCATGTGTCCCATTAGATTTTTTTATTGGTATAATTCACCTTTCTTCAGACACACTCATATTATATTATATTATATTATATTATATATATATAGCATATCATGTTGTAAAAATAGCCATGATGTCCCAATTTGTGATTTACCATCCGATTTTTGTTTGGTGGATTCCTTCAGCAGCCGCAGTTTATCCAACATCCAGCAGGTGTGCGAAGCCTGCAACGAATTGTGCAAGACTTGCACCTTGACCACCTGCCGGCTGAAGGATCTGAAGGGGAACTTGTTTTTTTGGCTGCTTGGGATGTTTCAAACATGAATGTTATTTTTTTCCATCATATATGGGATAATGATGGTTAATGATGGTTAATGATGCTTAATGATGCTTAGTGATGCTTAATGATGGTTAATGATGCTTAATGATGGTTAATGATGGTTAATGATGTTTAATAATCACTGATTGGTGGTTTGGAACATGAATCTCATTTTCCATTTCATATATTGGATGTCACCTTTCCCATTGATGAACTCATATTTTTAAAGATGGTTATGGCACCACCAACCAGATTGGAATTCATGGATTAAAAATCTTCAGGTGATTTATCTCAGGATTTACACGATCAGCTCACAGGTTTTAGGGGCTTTAACTGTCAAACTAGATATATATATATATATATACACCAAAATGGATACATAACTGAGAAATGATGGTTGATTGATGATTTTATGGGGTTGGGGCTTGTGCCAATCGATCAGCTGGGGAATCGTATATTGACCAACCAAACCAAAGGGACGATTCGGTTCTGTGGGAACCAAGTGGCTGAAGGGTTCACTACGGGGTTTTCACCAACAGGACATGTAATTTGTACCACAGGTGGTGCGTTAGCTAAGTTGGTTCATAGTGTATAACTCCAATCACGTTTGGGTTTCTCTAGATATATCTATAATGTGGGTAAAACAATGCCATAAACCACCCATTTGGGAATGGTTTATACCTATTTATGGTGTTTTGGGGGATGGCTTATTATAGTTTTTCCAACATTAACTACTATGGTTTATAAAGCAACTTACAACTGGGGCACCGCCTTGCACAAATCAATTTGATTTCCCCATCAAGATATGAAGTTTCCAACTGTTGATGGATAGAGGTTATATAGTGCAACTTCATCCATAGCAACCCACCAAACATTGACTCCCACAAGCACCATCTGCAGTTGTCCAAGAATAAGGAAGCCCACAATCCAGTTAGGTTATTCCAGTTATTTCCCATGCTGACACATTGTCACATCTTTAAGTTTAACCATATTGAACTTTTTTTTTATCCATGTTGAAGCATTTTAATCATATCAAACCCAGCTTAACCATTTTAGACCATGTTGAACTGATTTAAACCAAATTTGACCATATCCAATCAATTTAAACTATATAGATTCAATCATGTTTAACCGTATTTAATGCATTTTGAAGCAGATCAAAGCATGTTTCACCATAGTAAACACCATGTTGAAGCGTATCACGCCCTGTTTTACAATCTTCAACCATGTTGACACCATCTATTGGCCATCTAAACCATATGAAACCACGTTTAAACATGTTTAAACCATGTAACCCCCAAATAAAAAATCATCACAAACCCACAGGATGGGGCCCCACAGTGATGTTAGTTGGTTTATAAACCATGAAAAAGTCCCCATTAACTAGTTCGTTATATCTACCATAAACCATAGAATTCAGCCACTTATGTTCACCAACTGAACGCTATCGACTGGGGGCCCCATCCTGCATGGGCCTTTTGATCCTACGACGAAAAATCTTAAGGTGCCACTGGTCCGGCGACATGCAGCAGCTGCTTTCAGGATCGCGTCCTTGCATCTTGGCGTAGCTCAAGTCATAGCTGGTAGATGTTCAGCCCGCTTTAAAAAAGGCCTGGTTGGTGGTTTGGGAATTTCCATATGGGAATGGTTAATAGTGGTTAATAGTGGTTAATGAGATATCTGGTTTGTGGTTTGGAACCATGGATTTTTATGAATTCCCATTCAGTTGGGAACAATTAATAATGAGATATCTGGTTGCTGGTTTGGAACCATGGAATTTTATGAATTTCCATATATTGGGAATGTCATCATCCCAACTGACGAAGTCATATTTTTCAGAGGGGTAGATATGCCACCAACAAGATGATAACAAATATAGGTAACTTGACCCACTTTCATATGTTAATTCACGGGGATTCATGAAAGTTGAACATGGGTAAAAAAAAACATCTAACATGGGAATACAATGAATATATATATAGTATAAGCAATCAAACCTTCCACCTTGGTTATTTCTATGGACCGATTATTCCATAAATGGGATGACTTCCTGACTTATCAGTGGTAGCTACGGGCCATGCTGTAGGAATTTTAGATGGCGTGAAACTCACCCAATCAGATAGTTTACTGGGTCAACCGACTGGTTAGGTAATAACTAGTATTTTAATCTTTTGCCATCAATGGTCAAATGTACTACCCAGCTAAAAAATAGTTTATTTTCCGCGGGTATCTAACGTTCAGCCTGTTTAGTGGAATGATCCTCCAAGTAAGAATATCCCACATACTAGTTAATTCAAATCCGCTGAAAATGATCCCATATATCACTGGGTTTCAAGTAATATGGTTAATAAATTAGCCAGTTGCTAAGTGGAATGATCCTCCAAGTAGGGGACAAGGGAAACTTGCGTTTCGGGTTTACGGGGGTTCGTCCCAGTTGCTTTCCGTCCCACGTGAGTTCTGTTGGTGAAATCCCGCCGCGACTTGATGCAAATTTTGCGCCTGAGCGCCGATTTTTTGAGTTTGTCTAAAACTGGGAAATATCTATCCCCAAGTTGTGGTGATTATTCCAGGAAATTTCCGACATATATATATATATATATGGGGGTTCCATAAATGGAGGTACACCCCTAAATCATCAATTTTCATAAGATGTTCCCTTATAAACCATCCATTTGAGGGTAGCCCCATGACTATGGACCCCCCCAGATCAACCTGGTGTTCCCATGACGTCAGCCCCACCAAGGATGGTGACAAGTGCCTTGCAAGTTGTCCCCTGGGAAAGTATGTGGAGTACCAAGGGCCTCAAAGGCCAGGCGAAGGGGTCGCCGAAGGTTCCGAAGGTTCCGAAGGTCGTGGCCATGGATATGATGGAGATCTTGCCCTCAGAGGTTTAGGCCATGTTTTGTTGAATCTATGAAAGATATGGGGATACTATGGGATACTAGTTGATATGATGTAATTGATACATGTTGGTTGGTTTTCTTTGAAGGTGTTATCTACTTGGAGGATCATCCCACTTAGTAACTGGTTAATAACCCTAGTTAGGTCGTTATATCGTCCCCATTCAATGGGCTTATCATATATATATATAATTGGGTTATAAGATGTTATAGGTATATATATAAGTATGGTCCTATGGTTGTTAAATGTTATGTAGCCAGTTTCTAAGTGGAATGATCCTCCAGTCGTGACGGGGGGCCTCACTGACTGTATCAGTGGCTTGGGCTGGGAGGATCCGGTGATCCGCATCAACCGGATCCGGGTATCGTTCGCAAGGTGATGCCCCCTACAACTAGTGGTACCCCCCCAGTGATGTGAACGTTGGTTTATAAGCCCATCAACCAGTTCCATATATCTACCACAAGTCCTAGTTACTGGAGATATTGGCACCAACTTAGCTATCGAACTGGGGCACCACTATGTAGCTAAGTTGGGGGAAATCAATGGAAATCACATGAAGTAACTCGGCGTAGCGTCGATACATTTAAGCCATAAACCCGAGTTTTTGTTTGAGTCATGTTTTCCAACCCCGGAACATGAAAATCAACGACAAATCCCATGTTTTTTCTCCGGAAAATCACCACCTGAGGGAACCACGGAACGGTTTTAATCCCAGGCTCCCCAAAGACGTCAGACTTTCTCCAGAGCCAGGATTTGCCGCGCATGTAACAAGTCATGCGGGACTTGTGACGGCACAGCCAGTAACACGGCAGCATTTTTGTTCGGTTGATAAATGGAGGTTTCCTAAAATAGGGCTACAATGTGAGGCCCCCAAGATAGCTAAGTTGGTTTATAACTCCAATATCTATGGTTTATGATGTTTATGGTACCTATAACTATAGTTAATGGGCCTTATAAACCAACTTATAACTGGGGGGCCTCACATTGTACCCCTAAATCATTCAATTTAGATTGGGATGTTCCATGATGGTCCGTGTTTCATTCGGTCCATGGTTGCGAATTATACATGGCTGTCATACACGCCTGTTCCATTTTGTTCCATCTCCGAAGAAAGCATTTGCTGAGAAACGCCAAAACTATTGGCAACGAGGTTACTGCAGCTTTGGATCCCGCTGCAAACTACCCACATTTTGAGGACTCCTCTGATGTGAACCGTGTTCTTCAGATGCTTTTGAATCTGAGACAGGTTTGCAACTTTCGCAACAGCGTTCGCATAAGCCTTCTTGCCATCCCGGAACGGACTGATCTAGCGCTGCCGCTCTTCGAGGCAATTGCTGCGCGCGACCTGCAACGTGTGATGCATTGCCTGGTGGAGGGACAATGCCCAAATAGTGCAAATGCTGCTGGCTGAGCTCCGTCCTCGAGGCTGTTCCACTTCAAGATGTCGGATCTCCTCTGCACCGCAACGCTTCAATTCTGCATTTGCCTTGCCGCCACATGCCTCGTCTCGTTGCTTTCTTTTGCGAAACGATGGGGATATGGTGTGCCAATGACTTGGGCTGTGTCGTAGTTTCCTCAAATGGATGTACCTCCCACAACAATGGTCTGATGGGTATTGACCCATCCTCAAATTGAAATAGGTGCCAGTTATCTTAGATTTTAGATGGGTTAAACATGATTTTTCAATGCCAGCTGCCAGCTACAATATCTGGTACAGCCTACATATTATGCAATATACGGACTGTGGATATGATATGCATAACTGCATAAGCGCTTTTAGGGGCCAATTTACAATCAATGGCACAGATCGATGCCGCGGAACAAAACTGTTGATGCGTGACCCAAACGGTTGATGCGGCCGGGTGTTTCCCGAAGGAGCCATTGGTTGGAATCACACGAGCATATCAAGTGATGTCCTCCCAGTATCTCCCAATTATATGTTATATGATGTTATATATGTCAGTTTACTCACTTCACTAGTTCGATCTGTATACATCTGTATACCCTAAAATTTCTTGAATCATTCCCAAACCCAACAGTTATGTTAATTATCAACCATCAGATTGAACAAAAATCGATCGTTTGGGGACTCCTTCATGTACGGATACGTATACAAGGTGCTACCCCCTATGGCAATGGTCTCCATAGACCAATGTTCCACCAACTTTGCTAACATCAAAAGCAACGAGGCACTCCATATGGGGGATTCCCAATAGCTGGATGGTTTATAATGGAAAATCCCATGAAAATGGATGATTTGAAGGTACCCCCATTTTAGGAAACCTCCATATGGGTCTTGCGTAAATCAATTTTTTTGCTGGTTCATAAATCACCATTGACTGCTCAAAAAAACTTTGGGCACCGCCGGCAGTAGAAACTGTGACTCATAACCATTACATCGCCATTATATCCCCCTTACATCCCCTTACAATCCGTTTTAATCCCCATTGTCATTGGTTAAATCGTTCCCATCCCAAATAAGGATTCGTAACTGGTTCATAACCATGGTGGACACGCTCGTCCCATGTCTATGTGCTTATCCCATTTAAAATTGGAGTATAACCCCACAAACGCTACCCCTACATTTATGTTCCAATTATAGTGCGATTAAGATCATTATCATTCATTATCCCCATGATCTTGACAATCAAATCTATTTAAACCCCCATGTGTCTTGGTTAAGCCCCAATTTGAGCAGTGTCAAAAACCAATGCCCATTCAAAAGGGATCATTCGAATCCAGTATGGCACTAGCTATGAGCAAACCAGTAAAACCAGTTCGCAACTAAATATTACTTGTTTGTCATTGCTCATCTGAAATAAGGTGAAATTGATGCGTAAGTTTCCCTACAATCGATATAGATTCTCATCTGGTTGTTGGTTTGGATCATTTTTTATTTTTTCCATATATTGGGAATGTCATCATCCCAACTGACGAACTCATATTTTTCAGAGGGGTAGGGCTCAACCACCAACCAGATTATCATTAACCATCATTAACCATATAATAACCATATATTAACCATATATTAACCATATAACCATATAATAACCATCATTTACCATATAATAACCATATATGAACCATATAATAACCATATAACCATATGTTAACCATCATTAACCATATAATAACCATATAATAACCATATATTAACCATATATTAACCATATAATAACCATATAACCATATATTAACCATCATTAACCATATAGTAACCATATAATAACCATATAACCATATATTAACCATCATTAACCATATAATAACCATATAATAACCATATATTAACCATATATTAACCATATATTAACCATATAATAACCATATTTCATGATGAAATCCATATGAAATCACGGTGAGTTCCCTTGTCGTTTCGCTGTCCCGAGGCAATTGTACCAGCTGTCCCGAGGGCGCCGTGTTGGATGGGTCCACCTGCAAAGTGTCGTGCCGGGGCCCCGTTGGGTGAACGCATGGCTTATATCTGGTTGGTGGTTTGGAACCAGCAACAAATAGGGATTTTTCATGCGATTTGATAGGGATTATATAGGGTTAATGATGGTTAATGATGGTTAATGATGGTTAATGATGTTTGATAATCACTGATTGGTGGTTTGGAACATGTTTTTTTTTTATTTTTCCATATCAGAGGGGTTGAAACCAACAACCAGATATAATCCTGTGAAAATGTGAAACACACCCAAAGTTTTTTCATGTTCATTTGCACATACCCCATGAGATATCCCACAATTGATGGTTTTCATTATCAGTATCATGTTTGTGTCTTACTCACCAGTTTCCATGGCATTTGCACATCCAACCCTCACCGCACCCAGGTCCGAAGGGAAAGTTCCCAGATGCTCAGCGAGTCTGTCAGAACTGCAATGCAACCTGTGCGACCTGTGCTGGTTTCTCGGCTGAATTCCTTGGTCCGTCCGGAGAGTTTCCAGAGCCCCTGCCGAAAATAAGAGTTCAGTACAGTTATGGCCCCAAATACCTAGGTCAATCTCAGATGGGTACTTTAATCCTTTAGCCTTTTGGTATTAATGGGAATATCTACTAACCAGCATTTTTTTTTTGGCAGGGTATCTAAGATTGGCAATGATACCAGTTATAACCGGTTTTCTATGCTTATAAATAGTTATTTCTTCCATACATGGGTTATAACTTATAACTTTCTTATAACTGGAAAAGTGTCATAACTCTTTGTATACGATTGTAAGTTTGATGCCAACAATTGTGGCTAACCAATATGTATTACTGGAAACACACTGCCAACATGTGTTACATGTGTTTGGTTTTAACCATATAATTACAGGAATATTTGGAGAATAGTAGTTGGGAACAATCTCACTGAACTTTTTGTCGGTATCCTGAGCCAATAAACATTGCTAGTGAGACAACCAGGGGCTAGATTTATTTAACCAACCATTAACTATTTCATGAACAACCCTCATTCTTTTGTATAAAGTTTACGCACATGTTTGCTGTGGTTTGGATTTGATCCGGATGTTGGGAGCCCCATGAGAGAGCAAGCTAAATGACTGATCAGGTAAAAGTTGATGGACAATTATTGTATTCCGACATGTATTTTCCCAGGTACTTCATGTACGTGGTGTTGCCCCATAGTTAGCCAAGTTGTCGTTTCTATTGGATTAGCTAAGCTTTGTGGTGTCTATAACTGTATCCTTACACTGTACATTTGACATTGGTATGTTTATACTCACCACCTTCATTTTGTCTGTGAAATCTCAAATCCTGATCTTTATCCATTAAATCACGATTTCTATTGGTTAAACCGAGGTAAACCATCATAAAATCCATTAAAATCCCATTCAATCACCATTCAAGATCTGTTTAAATCCCAATAAACCACCATAATCCCATGAAAGATCTCAACAACAAATCCCAGTAAACCACCATATTTCTTCAGTAAATCACCATTAAAGATCTCATTGAATCACCCAGAAATCACCCATTTTTTTTCGAACAAAAATCCCGGCTCCAAGGAGATGCCAGTGAGATGCTCAGTGCGGACAGGAAGCGATTTATTGGAGCTACCGATTCCATATATGTTTGGCCTATTTTTCAGGGCTAAATTTCAGGGAATATCCCAAGAAAATATGATAAATATGGCCAAAAATGTGGTACTAACGTACCTCCGTTTTAGGATCTGGTTGGTGGTTTCAATCGATGATGATCTGGTTGGTGGTTTCATTTTGGTTTGATGGTGTCCAAGCCTAGAAATGGGATGACAATCCCAATCGACATTTATATCTGGTTGGTGGTTTGGAACATTTTTTATTTTTCCATAATATATGGGATGTCATCCTTCCCATTGACTTTCATATTTGCAAACATATGTGCCGCGGTCAAGACATGCTTTTTTCTCGTAGAAGGGGATGGTCATACACCCATCAATAGGGTTTAATATACCCATAGTAATGATTCCCAATATAGGATGGATGACCATAGCTCATATATCTGGTTGGTGGATTGGTAATATGCAATATTTTTAGTTATTGATTACCATTATTATTAAGGGTAGACCATGATATTCTGGTTGATGGGGATTTTACCGGCAGGGGTTTGTCAAGATCGATAGGTTTCTATGAGTCTTATGATTGATAACTACAAACCTATGGTTGTTACCAAAAGTTGTAGTTACCATTGGTTTCTATTGTACTTACTAATAGAAACCAATGTTGTTAACATATTATGATTTATAGTTGTTGCATGTCTTCATGATGGATAAATCTACGCACTAAAACGTCTATATCTGGAGATATAGATGTTTAAAAGATCACAGGCTGCTACACAACTTTCTGGGCGTGTCATCTACCAGATGTTGGATGATTCTAAATTACCCTCTGGTTATTTAACATAGCCATGGAAGCCATGGCCCATAGAAATAGATGGTTTCCCTGGGTTTACCTAGCTATAAAATGGTGATTTTCCATGGCTATGTTAAATAACCAGAGGGTATATAGTTGTTTTTTGGCCTATGCTTCTTCATATCCGCGATGCTTTATGGTGATGGTTTGACCAGCAGGTTTGCTTGCAAGCCCATGTGTGTCCTTGAAATTCCCACTTTGTTTGGTTCAATCCTCTTTGTGTTGCCTGAATTCTGTCTGTTCGATTCACTTCCCTAGATTGTTGCTGAAATTCATTGTTTCACTGTTCAACCCCAATCACTACATGTTAATTCCCTGGGTTCATTCCCTTTTCCATTCCCTGTTGTGTGTTCTGCCGGTTTACCCTCTGATTATTTAATTTTTAAAATTGCATGATTTTTGATGATTTACCATGATTTACCTATATCCCATGCAACATTGTGAATTTGCATAACTAGATTAAATTACCAAGAGGGGATAATTCCAACTATAGATTGCTAGATGACTGTACATTATGATATATCCATATCAGTGTCCAAATATTCCCATTAGTTCTTCTGCCGTGGTTTGTTTTGTGTTGTTTGCCATGTTTTTTTTGAATGACTCGGCCTTTGTTCTCGGCTACTGAGATTCTTGCCTCACGTGCAACAGTTGCTTAGCGGCCGGTGGCAGTTCCGAGAGTTCTTCACACAGAAATGCGTGGAATTCACAAGGGATTATCATGGGATACCATCTGGTTATGTCAAAATAGCTATTGAAAATGGCCCATTTATAGTTGATTTACCTATTAAAGATGGTGATTTTCCATGGCTATGTTAGTTTACCAGAGGGTATATTATGGGAAAATCCGTTATCAATGGGAATAATGAGAAGCTATGGGGATATGCATGGTGGTGCCCCAGTTCGTTAGCTAAGTTGGTTTATGACTACAATAAGTAGGACTTATGGTATATATATATATATATATCGAACTAGTTGATGGGGGTTATAAACTAACTTATAACTGGGGGATACCACATTGTGGAATCAGCAGTATGGGGTAAGTGGGATGCGCCTGAAAATGGGGCTTCAATCCCGGATTTAGCGAATTTTAAGATGGACGATCATTCTTGACTCATGGACCATTGGATTGAGGCGATTTCCCCCCATATCTTTCAGAGAAGCCCACATAAACTTCAACTTGTTGTGGCGGGAAGTTTGAAACACTGATATGTTTGCTTTCCGGGCCTTTTGTGGAATGAGTGAACAACTAGTGACATGCAGTTTTTTTTGAAAGAGAAGGACAGGTTGATCAATGGTTATATCCCTACAACTAGCAAATAGGCAGTATCTACATAGTGGTGCCCCATAGATAGCTAAGTTGGTTTATATCTCCAATAACCAGGACTTATGGTAGATATATCTATAGTTGATGGGGTTATAAACCAACTTATAGCTGGGGGGTACCACATTGTACAACCCCAAACACGACTCTTTCATGGAAGATAAGCTACTACTTGGCGGTGCAGTTCCATGTACAAGTGGTTGCATCACCATAGTTATAGTGGCCCAATATCCCAATTTGAGGGGTTTCAACCCTTTATGGGTTTCCAATGGCTTTCGCCCCAACTGCACTCGCAAGTAGTGACCCCAAGTATAAGTTGCTTTGTAACCCCTGTTAACTATAGATATAATATTTGATATCCCCCCATAAACCATAGGTAACCTACAAAAAAGTTGAAAACTGGAACCTGAAGAAAAGATGGTAGCTGGTAGCACAGCTGGAACTAAAAATCAAAAATCCTAAGTTTGGGGAATTGTTTTTTAATACTATTCTAATAGGAATTCATTATTAAATCCCAATCTTAATGTTCCATTTTTGCTTCATGGATCATGTGGGTCATTTTGAATACTATGAATCGCTTAGAAAAATCGCTTGGGCAGTGGGGATTGTCATGGCCTCTTTCATAGAAATATCAACCAACCAGTATGATGGGATAGGGATATTTTTCACTTTTCGTGTGATGCTTCCCGGACTTTGATCAAGGGTTACTGCTGAGCCCCCACTTCAGTACTGAGGAAAGGCACCCTTTTCAGGTTCGAAAAATGGAAAAACATGGTATGTACAACATGCATCACCACTTGGTGTAAGGTTTCCTGCATGTTTTTTCCTTTCACCAATCCTTTGAGTGGCTGTTTATTGGGATTGTACTCCCATCTATTGGTGAATTGACCTGAAGGAATGACTGCAATCCCAAGCAAGAACCAAGTGGAACCAATCCGAACTAAGTTTTTGACGTTCAGTTCCCATACAATCACATGATGCGGAGAACAAGTGCAGCTCGTGGCAGCTCCCTTCCACAGACTCCTTTGACATCAGACTGGGAAGATCTCCAAGGTCGGTTGGTGCAATGACTTCCGTCTCCAGCACAGCGTTCATGTCAAGCAATAGAAAATGCTCCCAGCATTGTCGCAATCAAAGCACAACTAATCACAATCTGGAAAAGAAGAAAGGGATAGTCAATTCACCAAAAAGTCACCAGACAAGTCACCCAAGGTGTGTAGTAGTTTATGAAGCAGCCCACAGAAGCTAAGCCACGGGGCACACTCCAACATTCTTGTTCAAGCATCGGGAGATTGGTCGTGAGCTAATCTCCATTGAATAGCAGCGGCTCTTCTGTCAGCAAGATAAAGCAAGGTATAGACACCTCCACCTTCATCTTGTACGCAGGGCCAACCCAATCGGGCAAGCAGGGGCTCACGCGGGCATCCACAAGGATGCAACATCTCTCTCGATATCTGGACAGTTCCAACACCAATGCATGAAATCAAGCTCAGATTGGCATGAGGGACAAGTACCCATGCGAACAGGATATTTGCGGCCCCGATCATTCTTCACAAGTCTATAAGGAGATACAAAGCCTCCAGCCATAATTGCAAAAGTATGTGCAGAATCAAAAGCATGCTGCCTTGCAAGTCACCAGGCAAGTCACCAAAGGTACCATGAATATCCATGGATATTCTTATGTCCTAAGATGACTCTAAGATGTCAACGTTTTTTACCTTAAACTATGCATAGGATGTATTCCACCCCCCACTAGGAGGATCTCCCTCTATTATATAGTGAATAACCCTGGTGGATAAGTCTCCTCTACTTGCCAAGCAGCTACTAAGTGGGATGACCAGCTAATTACCTCCCCAATATGCATCTGGATATTTAGGGCCTCTATTCAGTTACATCCCACCCTCATCCAACTTGTCACTGGCTAAGAATTTTGGGGTTATATCCCAAATTACATTATATATACATTAATTGTATATTCTAAGTGCTGGTCCACTACGTATGTGTATAATATTGTATATATTACATGTTCATGAGATCCTCATTTATGCATACATGATTTCGCATTCAGTGCCGTTATCCAAGTTGGTTTTCTCATGATCCCACGATGATTTCCTCATGATTGTCCTAGTTTCCTCATGATTGTGCCATGAAAATAGCTATAAATCCATGATTTCCCTATGTTTTCACCATTTTCCCTATGTTTTCCCCCGGGTTTCCCTATGATTCCCCCAGAAATTCCACCGATGAGGCGGTGACTTCCTGGATGAATCCAGCTGCGTGAACCCCTGCCCTGATGGCAAGTTTCCGGAGGGCAAGGTGAGATTTTCGGCAAGGTGAAGCAGAAATGGGAATCATATGAGAATCATATGGGAATCATATGGGAATCATATGGGAATCATATGGGAACACTTTTTTGGTGGGAACGCTTGCCAATGTGATGTTCTTTTAGTTTTGTCGTTTTTACCAGTTTGTTTTTGTATGTCGATATGAATCTATAGCAGAAACCAGTTCGTGAAATTGGAGTTATAAACGCCCCAACTTCGCGATTTTGCTCACTGGGGCACCACCTTGCATTGGGAAAATGATGGGGGACATCATGGGAGACTCATTGGGACAAATGGGAGGATCATTGGGAAAATGTATGAACATATCCACCATCATACATTTTCATACATTGTAGTTACTAAGATGTTAGAACAGTCATCATAACTCTGGTAATATGAACATATCCATCCCAACAGTCATTGTAGTTACTAAGTTCCATGGTTCATGGCCAAAGGTCATAGCTATTTTCCATGCTATTTTCCATGGGAAATCATTGGGAACGTAAAAACCATTGGAAAAACATGGGTCCCAGTCCCAACAAGTCATTGTAGTTGCAAAATGTTAGTTAACCATGTGGGGCCCTAACACTTATTGTATCTTATTGTAGTATATTGTAGTTGCAAATCAAGTTAGAAACCTATCATTTGGGGCCCCACATTGTATGATTTATATTTTTCCAGCTGATTCCAGCTTAGAACAAAAAAACACATCTTTGTTGAAAAATAGAAACTGATCGCTAAAAATCCCAAATCCGGCCCCATTCTGAGCAGGATTGCCGCGTATGCAGTACTTCTTGTGCTACCTGCAACTAGGATGAACCGGGATCTCGTGCACTGAGATCACAGATATTCGACGACGAATGTGGTAAGCCCCATGTAAACCCCTTTAAAAAATAGGGGATGTGTTTACTGTATATACTGTACATATAATATGTACAAATATGTATATATATATATATACACATTACACATTATATCATATTATAATGCAGCGATCAATTTTTAGCGTGACTATATATTTTAATGGATTTGACGGTAAACCATAGGATAGTAGTTGATGGACGTACTGGGAACAAAACATCAACAATGGTAATGAGGAATGAGCGAAATGGGCGTACAAAACATTGTAAGACAAAACATCGTGGGGCTGTAATGGGACACAAAACCAACAATATGATATGGGTTTGTCTGAAAATGGTGTATACCCCACTGGTTGGTGGTTCGGAACATGAATTGTATTTTTCATTATTTTTCCATATATTGGGAAGTTCATAACCCCAACTGACGAACTCCATCATTTTTCAGAGGGCTAGGGCTCAACCACCAACCAGAAATGGTGTATACCCCAAAATTGCAAAACCGCGCAGGTAAAACGATCAACTAGTGGATTTGAGGGGTTCCCCTTTCTGCCGGCAGACAAAAAAAGCCACGAGTTTTTGTCGAGCTAACATGGAAAGGTGCAGAACCTTTGTGAGTTGATTGTTTCACTTGGGCTGCAAAGAGTCGTTTACTGGGAATGATTCTTATCATTTCTTATCCATAATCTTGGATTGTTCATTACCCTTGGAGAATGAAACATTGCAATGGAGAATCTAGATATTGTGGTAAGGAGGGCTATTTATTTTGGGTATTTTTTTGCGGCAGGTTTTGGATTTAGTTTTGGGTTCCTGTTTCTATGCTTTCCTGCTTTTCTGCTTTTTGTTTTTCCTGCTTCTCTGCTTCTCTGCTTGTTTGCTTCTTTTCTTTTCTGCTTCTCTGCTTGTCTGCTTCTCTGCTTTCCCTGCTTCTGTGCTCTTCTGCTTTTGTGCTTTACCTGCTTCTTTTTTTTCCCTGCTTATCTGCGTTCCCTGCTTCTTTGCTTCTCTGCTTTTGTGCTTCTGTGCCTTTCTGCTTCTACTATTCTACTTTTTCTTTTCTTCAGGCATGTGTTGTTGTTGCTCTACTTCCTGCTCCTCTGCTTCTTTGCTTCCTGTCTTTACTGCCTCTATGTTGGTTCTTTTCTGTTGCCATTACTCTCTCCTGTTTGTAAACACCGTAGGTGAAACGAAACCCAAAGAAACTTAAAGAAATCCTGATAAGAACTCCTGATAAGAAACCCTACATGCAACCCTAAATGAAACCCTAAAGAAACTTTTAATGAAACCCTATATGGCATCCTAAAGAAACCCTAAACAACACTCTAAAAAACCCTTAATGAAACCCAAACGAAACCCTAAACGAAACTGTAAAGAAACCCTAAACCTAAAGAAACCCTAAATGAAACCTGAAATGACACCCTAAATGAAACCCTAAAGAAACCTTAAAGAAACCCTAAATGAAACCCCAAATGGAACCCTAGAGAAGCCCTAAACGAAACCCTACATGAAACCCTAAAGAAACCCTAAACGAAACTGTAAAGAGACCCTAAACCTAAAGAAACCCTAAATGAAACCTGAAATGACACCCTAAATGAAACCCTAAAGAAACCTTAAAGAAACCCTAAATGAAACCCCAAATGAAACCCTAGAGAAACCCTAAAGGAAACCCTATATGAAACCTAAAGAAATCCTAAACGAAACTGTAAAGAAACCCTAAGCCTAAAGAAACCTGACATGAAACCCTAAATGAAACCCTAAATGAAACTCTAAATGAAACTCTAAAGAAACCCTGAATGAAACCCTAAATGAAACCCTAAATGAAACCTAAAGAAACCCTTAATGAAACCCTAAGGAAACCCTAAATGAAACACTAAAGAATTCCCTGAAGAAACCCACATGAACGTTTGGAAATCAAGATAAGAAACCCTACATGAAACCCTAAACGAAACTCTAAAGATACCCTAAACCTAAAGAAACCCTAAATGACACCTGAAATGGAACCCTAAATGAAACCCTAAAGAAACCTTAAATGGAACCCTAGATGAAACCCTAAATGAAACCCTAAAGAAACCCTAAATGAAACACTAAAGAAACTTTACTGTGAATGAAACCCAAAATGAAACCCTAAAGAAGCCCTAAAGAAACCCACATGTACCTTTGAACAAATCCTGATAGGAAACCCTACATGAAACCCTCAAGAAACCCTAAATGAAACTCTAAAGAAACCCTAAACCTAAGAATCCTTAAATGAAACCCTAAATGGAACCCTAAAGAAACCCTAAACGAAACTCTAAAGAACCCCTAAAGAAACCCTAAATGAAACCCTACATGAAACCCTAAATGAAACCCTAAAGAAACCCTGAATGAATCCCTAAATGAAACCCTAAAGAAAATTTCAAGAAACTCACATGAACGTTTGAAGTACCAAAATGTAGCAAATACCATGCAAATGAGAGGTTGAAGTGCCAAAACGTGGCAAATACCATGCAAAATGCAAAGTGACCATGCCAAAATGTAGCACATACCATGCAAAATGACAGATTCTGGTTCCAAACTGTTGCAAATACAAGGCATATGGTACCAGGAAAGAAAGCCAACATAAATTCCAAAACCTGAGCAATAAAAAACTATTCTGCACATCCTTATATGGTAAACCCATGTACATATGAAATATCGCATATTTAATACAGCGATCTTTTTTCCTGTGACTGGCCAATCTATTGAAATTTTACCATACAACCATAGGATAGTATTTGATGGACATCAGTTTGACTTTCCTAGGATGCCAAGGCGCCTTTGAAGTCGAAGACACGTCCCAAAGTATTGAACAAGTGCTTGACCAGAACTTCGCCGGATGGAAAAGCAGGCAGATCAGAAGGACTGGAACTTGATCACAGAGATTTCCAAGCAGCTGTTGTCCGAATGAAGTGCTGCCCGAATGGGTGTACCGAGCTAGCATTTCGGAGAAGTTCACGCGCACAGATCCACCATCTACATACCAACATACGACCCTATAGAGGATGACAGAGAACACGGCGATATATCCACCGACTCTTGCGATTTTTGGAGCACGTAGTGGGGATGAACCATCCACAATGGGAATTAACGACATGGGCGTATAAACCAAAAAAACACATTGTGGGGCTATAAAGGGACATAAAACATATAAAAACCAACAATATGAGATGGGTTTGTCTCATTGAGTTCGGAGACTTCCCAGCGAACCATGTTCGACGCCACCGGAGGGTAGTGATTCCAATACTATAGATCCAATTAAATTATCCCTTCTTTCTGTCAAATTACCATGTTCCTATGGTTTTCCACGGTTTTCCCATGATTGGATGGATGACAATATGACAATACCCTTGCTGTTGAACCCCGTTTAAGCACGGATGGTGGGTTCAACGGTTCAACAGCTGCCGAAAAGTCGAAAATGTCCCGAGGCGCCATTTCGGCCAACAACTGTACCTCCTGCAAGGCAGATGACGTGAAGGAGTCTCGTCAGATGGTCGAAACCCAATGTGTATTGGGAATGAATTGCAATTTATACAGCCAATTTATATCTGGTTGGTGGTTTGGAACATTTTTCCATATATTGGGAATAATCATCCCAACTGACCAATATATTTTTCAGAGGGGTAGGTCAACCACCAACCAGATATGGTGTTCAAGGATTTTCAACATCGCGCATATGGGCCATGTCATTTCTTGGTTAAAGTTTGGGCTTGAGTAGGTCAACACCGGTCAACCCACAAATTGAAGAATGCAAAAAATACTGCTAACTAATTGTTTGCCATGAATGGGCATATTTTAACCTCCGGCAATCAAGCATGGCAAGGGTAAATCCCGCATAAATGAAAGTTTTATTGAGAACATATATATATATATATATGGGTAAATCATGGTTAGTAAGGGAAATCATCCCCAAATGGCCTTAATTCAGGTTAGTGAAATATTATAATTTACCCAGATATATCAAGATGATCTATATTTCTATAATTATATAAATGGGAGATTCTCAAATGCCACGTTTGATTGCAGTGCCCAAACAATGCACGAATCCGCATAGATTTCCCAGATTTTTTTTTTGGTCAGAGTATCTAAAGACCTGCCATAGTTATTTTGGGTAATTTGGATAATGGGCAATCAGGGGGTGATGATGGTTAATAACTGCACATATGATAAGGCTTGATTTACAAGAATGGGCCTACTGACATCATGTGAGGGTACTGTTGAGGGTACCCTTAGATTTCGCGTGTGAAACACACCGAGGACGGCAACAAGTGCATCAAGGAGTGCCCTGCTGGCAAATTCGAACTGGAACGAAGCTGTCACTCGTCCAGCACTGATGTTTTGCCTTGATTCTTGAGCCAAGATCAACCAAGGGGTGCAGGCTATCCATATAGGCATGGGTCAAGGACCACAGATTTTAGTATATCGTTCAGTATTAATTATCCATCTACCTTCTGGTAATTTAACATATGTATTACTATTGAAAATGGCCATAGAAATAGTTGATTTACCCTTTAAACATGGTGATTTTCCATATAGTTATGTTAGTTTACCAGAGGGTAAGTACCATTAAATCCCATTTAATCCGATTTAACCACCATGTTCCTATGGTTTTCCCATCAAATTACTAAGGTGCCCAATTTTGACTTATAGCCATCATGGGGATTTGGCCAACCCCCCTTTTCGGAAATCTCCACAGTAGTTTGTGTTTATGAACTCGCTATCATTGGCTTATCATAAGGGGGGTTACCTTAGAGAGGAGTTGGTGAAATCCTAAATATTATATATACATACATGGCAGTGTGTCAAAACGTTGTACCCCTGGTGAACATCAAAATAGCTGGTATTAATAGGTATTGATCCATACCCATATATATATATATTATATACATATGTATATTAGACAAACAAATACAGTATTTTACAGTATATGGTAGACATGTTGGAAATCCAGACCTGATATATTTAGTCACTTTAACTATTTTTTGGACCCGGTTTAGTTGTGTTCAATCCCCGTGTTTGTATTTTGATCGGTGAAAGCTACATTTCTGCCTGCATCAACTCCTTTTGTTTCTGCTCGAATTCATATTCTAAGGGTGGCTTGGCAGCACAAAACTATTGACAGCTTTTTGGGCAGTTGTTTGAGTAATGCAGCTATAGTTCCTTGTAATTGCATGTGTTTTCTCGATCACAGCATTGAACCAACCAATACTTCGATGGGCCATGGACTCAGTTAACTAGTTGAGAAATACATTTTGTTGGAATACAGTGGGTTACAACCCACTTAGCCAGTTAGCTAATCCTATGGCCCATCTAAGTATGGGTGATATTGAGGCTGTGAATTAAATAATCATTTCGACTTCGGAACTGCAGGTCTTGCATGCAAGAAGCCCTGCTCTGCTTGTAAAGGCCGTGGGAAAAAATGTCGTCCTTGCCGATGGCAGTGATGGCTATCTTGCTTAACATTGGTTGGTATAAATTTCACGAATTCAAGTATGTAAGTATCATGAACCATAGTGAAATTGGAGCTATGTTCACCAACTTAGCAATTTCGCAAACAGTGGCCCCACTTTGGAAGAATGTTTATCATTACTTTGTAAACAAAAATGTGATCACCATGGTCGTTGTCATCATTTGTTTGCTCCGAAAACGTGTCAGGTACTGTTTATAGTGTATTACCTATGCCTATCTGACCTCTACTGTAGTTATAATATGTTATTATCACGTATATATATATATATATATATATCATTACCATATTTGAACTATAGTCTGTTAACTCAGGGTCCTTGCAGACATACTGTAGCCACATGTCGCCCTAGGAAGATGGTCAACACACCAGGCAGATCCCACTAATGTTCAGCTACAATTAAAATCAGATGGCTGCAGTTACGGCCTGACTGCCAGTCATAAATTGTCACATGGTTTTTAATTTTTGCTATTTATTCCATAAATGGGGGACCCCAAAATGGTTCCAACATGGTCGGCTCTGCCATGGCGAATCTGTGCGATGCCGCCGAAGTGTTGACCCCACGGCCATAGCTGCGGATTCTGATCAGCCCACTTAGTTCACTTGCCAAACTGAAACAATCATTTGATTGTATAACCATCTGCAACCTAAGTTCTCCATGGTAAACGCCATTATCTCATGAATTTACCTTGGTAAATGGTTTGTAATGGGGTATCCCAAACATATATATTATTATATATCTATATATAATATGTATATTATATATATAATATACCAGATACCCCCAAACAAACAATAACAAATCTGTGGCCAGTTCTCATGGTTTTCTTGATTTTCTATGAATCTGTGCTGTGATACTTCCATGTTTTGCTCATGCAGGCGCTGCTGATTATTGCACCGAGTGCCATGAAAGCCTCAACATGGCCCCTGGGCAGCCAGAGTGGGGATCACTCCATGGCTCCCTCAGAGCTACGGTTGGTGGTGCCCCAGTGAGCTAAATCGCTAAGTTGGTGCACATAACTCCAATTTCACCATGGTTTATCGTAGATATAGCTAGAGTTGGACCGCGGCCTTTGGACGGCCGTGGTGTTTTGTTGGGGTGGGGTGGGGTGGGGTGGTGGGGTGGGGTGGGGTGGGTGGGGCATGTATTAACGTTCATTTGAACTTGCGCATGAAGTAGATGCTACACCGTGGCTGTCTGTTGGGGCATGTATTCATGGGTGGGGTGGGGTGGGTGGGGTGGGATAATAACGTTACTGGCTCCTTCACACATACGTCATGCTACGCTACTGTAAGTCTTTGAAAGATTTCTTGCCATCTCGCATGGTTTTGAAATGCAAAGAGAGTGGACATTCCACTTTGCACCCCCTGGTGACACAATATGTGTTCATGTGGTGCTGGTGAGTAAGCTTGCTAGAAACCAGATCCTAAAAGGTTCTTGGAAGAACTTGAAGCGCTGCTGTGAACAAAAGACGGCCAAAAAATTGCGAATACGAATTAGTTGGGCGCTATGAAGAAAACCCCAAAATTGAGGTTTCGTGTAGGCGAAACGACTGTTTTTATTTTCCTGCTTGGAACTAAGGTGTTCACGGCATTTACACTAAAATCGCACGAATTCCTTTTGGCCAGAGCACACCAAACATGGTCAACAACATCCCATGAATCAACAAAAAACACGGCCATCTAAAGGCCGTGCTCCCTATAGATACATGGTTTAAAAACCAACATAACTGCGGGGCACCACCTCGCAGGGAAGAATGCGGTTGTTGGCTGATTAGGTGATTGTTACTATGATTGCTTCAACGAGGTTGTGTTTCTTGTTTGTTTTTCCGAAAAAAATATTGCACCAATGTTAGAATGCTGAGTATTTTTCTTATTGGATGGGTTTGATAGCTTGATATCCCCCCAAAAAAATCATAACCTGTTTGATTGACTGACCATGGTTTTAAACAAACCATTCTCAGGCCTTCTGACCATGATGTAGGAGATGTGCATGTGTGCAATGGTCAAACAGGGGCATCATGTGCAATAGTTACAGGGGAACTACGGTTTTTATTTGGTGTTGGAATTGAGCAAAATCTACATTAACTTGGATGGTTGATACGGGGATGGACCAAAACCTTTTAAAATTCCAGAAATTTGGTGCATCAACAACCATAAATCCAAGATATTTTAGGGTGTCATCCGGACACCAGATGTTTGACTCATAGCCATGTCGAAGCTGGAAAACCCAAAAATGTGGAAGGTGCACTTCGTAATCCCTTGCCTCCCTATTTTGTTGCTGAAGGTGCCAATATTTGTTAGTCACTATTTTGTTAGGAGGTTACTATTTTTTGGGGGGTGGAGAGGTTGCTACAGATTTGGGGATCGCTTAGTTCCATCGGATTTCTTCCCCTGCCACTCCTACACGGTCACCATATCTTTGGGCGAATTTCGATACAATTCATCGTGCCCAGAAAGTTTCAGCACATGAAGTAGTCTTTTAGGCCGCTATTAAGCAGTCTCTATAGGTCAGTTGGGAGCAGTGTCATGTCCTTTTCCGATTGGTTTATCTCGTTTATTGATGAATTTGAGGCTCCTCAAGAACCTGTAGGTAGATTGCAACAAATAGAATGAATAGTATACCCAAGGACAATATAGGTCAGGGTCGGTCCAATCTATAAGCTTCGCGAAAATTGGTAAATTTGCCTCTGTATCTACAGTGAAGGCCCGAAATACCATGAAATACCAGTCACAACTGGTTCTAAATGGTGATTTCTATGCGCTTATTCCATAAATGGGTTTATTTCACAGTTAAGGCCATAAAAATTAGTTAAAACTGGTGATTTCTATGGGATTATACACTCTATAAATGGGGTTATAACTGACGTATAACTGGCATTTTGGACCATAACTCTGACCCTGTGGGCCACCCCTGGGGCATCTCCAAGGTGGCCCATGAAGGTCAATGCATTTGTCCCAAAGGCGGCCTTGCCATGGGATTTCTTGCACTTTGTGATGGAAAATCACCATTGGAATACATATATATATATATACACATAATATATATATATACATATAATATATATATATACATATATATATAATATATATATACATATATTATGTGTATATATATATACACTGTATATAATAGGTCAATCATCATCTGTAAATAAAAAATGTTTCATAGCTGTCATGGCTATGTGAAATTTTCAGGTTGGGTCAATTCCCATGACGATTCCCGTTTTTCTTGGTTAAATCCAGCCGCGAGATGGGGGGAAGACCGTCCATTTACCAACAATGAACGTTAGCTTTCTTTTGGGGGGATGGGACTAGATTACTGTCAAGATAATTTTTACTAAACCTGGATTTGTTGAAGATGTTGTTGTTATTTTCCCATTGGCTAAACAACATGACCGGGGAATCTGCTTGGATTACATTTTGTTGTTTTTGGAGGACCCCTGGTCAGCAAATCCGGGTGCCAACTGTCAACATGTGTGAACACTTCATGCCAAGGTTGGACCCGTAGCCCATGGGAAAACCACGGGACAACCATGGGAAAACGACATGTTTTTCTCAATGAATCACCATTGTTGCGGGCCTATCTCAAGTTTGGTGGTTGAATCATGTTGAATCCCCAGTGCCGATGGTTGAATCCTCAACTTTGGGTGGTGCCATATCGGTTCTAAGCTTCTTTTTTTTTGCGCTGATCAAATCTAATGTTTGATTGAGTTCGGTGTTCATATGGTTCCATTTTTGAGAGACTAGCACATATTCATGAATATCAATGAATATCCATCATGGCTAACGTATTCTGGCTGGTGGTTTGGAACATTTGGATTATTTTTCCTTATATTGGGAATAGTAACCCCAACTGACTTTCATATGTTTCAGAGGAGTAGGTATACCACCAACCAGTATTAGTGATATCCACCGATGCTTCGGGCTCCCATCGTAGTGTCAGGCACCTACTGGGGCGGTGAGACCTGCATGGACTGCGATAAGACCTGCAGCACCTGCGGGGGAGCTGTTACTTGGATCAAACATCGCAATTGAAAGTCCCACAGTTATGGCCCTTTACCAGTTATAAGTACTTCCAACACCATTTATAGAATGTATAATTCCATTTATAACCAGTTATAACTAATAAATGGCCTTAACTGCAAGATATAAGTTGGTTTAGATTCGCCCCAGTAACTAGTTCGTTATAAATACCATAAACCATAGTGAAATTGGAGTTATGTTCACCAACTGAACGCTATCGAACTGGGGGCCTCACATTGTGGCAATTGGAAGTCCCCGTCACACATGGAATTTTGAGGACAATCAACTATGAAGGATGTTCCAGCTAGCCATGTTTCATTACCAGAGGGTATAGATTATATATACAGTACCCTCTGGTAAACGTTTACATAACTATGGAAAATCACCAGTTTTAATGGGAAAACCACTATAAATGGCCATTTTCAATAGCTATGTTAAATTACCAGAGGGTATATATATATACACATTGGAACCTAATGGAATTCGAGGGACAGAATTTAGTGGGTTTAGTGATCTTCATGATTTTAATGATTCCTAAGTTGGTGGACATTAGGTCATGAACAAGCATTTCTTCGATGGGGGGCACCACCTTGAATTATTTGTTGAGTGGAGCTTACCCTCCGGTACTGTTTCACATGGCTAGCTGCTAGAGCTGGGATATCCCCGAAGAAAATGCAGGAGGTTTGTAGCTGAGAAAATCACCGGAACCAAAACATGGTATGTATCATGGAGCGAGGCTTTCATGAGGCTATCATCTCCCATCAGGTTTTTTTCACCATCCTATTTTGGAGTTAGAAAACCACTGCATTTGGGAGAATTAACAACATTTCCACTCGTGACACACTCTCAGCATTGGCTGAGCAAGCTCAGCACAGCAAGCAGCTGGAGAAAGATCTTCAGGATTGGATCCCTGCAAATCTCGGAGCGCTACCATTTAGCCAGCGTCCACAAACTGTCACGTACATTGGAGCACATCCAATGGCAGGCGAGCGGAAGTCAGCGCGAGTCGCGCAGACGTCTCTCAAGTCGGTCAAAAGATGCCCAGGCTGAGCTGCAGGGGATTCGAAAAGACCAAACCGCTCACCAAACCGCCCGCCTGATTGATATGTTGATATGTTATCTCCAGTTCTGACATGTCCCCTTACTTATACCGTACCTGTTCATGTTTCACAATGTTTCACATTCATTCATACACATTGTTATGTTTTTAGAGTTTCATCATGCCTGAATTTTATATTCACAGAACTGCATATATACGGCGCAGATTGAAAGGGTTTACCCACTGAATGATGGATGATTAAAAGCATGGTTTCAACATGTTTCAACCGTATTTCTTTGTCGTTGTTTCCTGTTCCCCAAACCAATACATATTGACGTAAACTAAGCACAGAGCTAAGGATCTACACATTACACATGTTTCCAAGTGTTCATGTCGTGGCTGACCTTCCCTTGCAAATAAATTAATGTAGACCCTGAGCAGCTCGCCAGCGTTTAGTGGAAAAAAACATCTTCCAACCTACCCTCTGGTAATTTAACATAGCTATTGAAAATGGCCATTTATAGTGAATTTTCCCATTAAAAATGGTGATTTTCCATAGCTATGTTAAATTACCAGAGAGTATATACATGGTTTCGAACACAATTGAGGCGCAAAACTGCACTTCGTGCCACGAATATGCCATGTTGCAAGGTGCCGAGACCAGCGGTACGACTGAAACGTGGCTATCTGGGAAATCCCCGAACTAAATGAAGGTGTTAAATGGGAAAATCATCTATAAATGCGGGAATTTTCCATGATTTTCCATGTTTGATTACCGGAGAGTATACAGATGTTGATCATTTTGCCAGATTTACCATCCCCTCAACTAACAGTGACCCTGAAAATGATCACTCTTTAGCAGAGTCCATGTTTGGTTGGGGAAAGGTCAAATGTCTATGATTTGTTCCATCAAAATAGCCGGACTGTTTTTGTGAACACTTAGTGATTAGTAAACGGTTGGTGGTTTGAAACATTTGTTTATCTTTCCATCATATATATATGGGATGTCATCCTTCCCATTGACTTTCACTCCATCATTTTTCAAGATGGGCACATTGCACCACCAACCAGGTTATTATAAACCATATATTAACCATATTAACCATATAATAACCATATATTTGACTATCAAAATAGCCGGATCTTTAGATGAGATGATGCCATGGTGAAGTTGGATTGAGCCAGTGGTGGATGGTCAAACAAATCCATCAAAAAAGGGGCCCGATAGGGATAGCTAAGTTGACGCGTACGTAACCGATAGTTAATCTTGCTGTATAACACATAATATTACATATGTCATATATAACAATATGACAATGACAATAGAATATTTTTTTGACGTATAGTAACTTGAGGCATTCATGGGGTTTATAAACCAACAAACATGAAAATGGAGGGGGGCAACATTGTAGAATGTGATAAAAATAATCTACGAGGTGGTTCTCCCCTGGAACGCTCTGGTACACTAACAGTTTGCGAACTTGAAATTCACCATGATTTTTTTTGGGTAAGTCAACGAACTAAATTGGCCATGTTCAATAGCGAACTGTAACAAATTACCAGAGGGTATGTTCATCAACTTCGCCAACGAATTGGTTCACCCCTCTGGAAAAAGTCCGAAAAAAGTGATCAATTACTTGTCTATCTCTTGGGGGTTGCTACAATGGGATTTTTGGGCAAAGGGAACGCTTGATCGATAAACAAAAACACAGACGTGACTATATCGGAACGGAACGTTCCTGAGTTCACCCCAACTTGTCAACAAGTGAATGAATGTTGGCAACCCAATAAACCTAGCAATTTGGGATGGTATTTTTCCACCCATAAAAGTGGTGATTTTGGGGATGGTGTATTATTGGATTTACCACAGTACTGCAATTCATATTTGGTCGACCTTGGATGGGTAGAATGTGATGCCCCCAGAGTTAGTGGGTTTATGGTAGCTGGTAGATATCTCGTGCTGGTTCGATGGGTGAAACTAAACCAAGAAACACATATAGCTAGTTGATACATGGTTCTGAGCACTTTGGTACGGGGATAGGGGGGTAAAGACCCATCATGTGGTAAGAGTCTTTTCTCAGGTGCCCGGATAGCGTATCCATCCAAAAGGGACATGGAATCAGAACTTCAGGCACTTTGTGGGTCTGAAGGCAGGTGAATTGGTCGTCCGGACTCTAAGATGGACGAGGCCCAAGAACTTGAGCAAGCAGCACACCAAGTAGGTTTTGTCCCAGAGACATCCTTGCCCAACCGATGGCCACAAAATGCTCGGAGCGTGACATTAGGGAGGAGATCTCCCATTGCATTTGTCGATAGTTTCCCTACTTGCTCGGAATCAACTTACCTTGTATTGTGGTACTCTAATCTAATCGTGTGGGAAACTCAAGTCCAACTAGTAACCAGCCAAGTCGTCACACCATATCCCACAACGTTTGTGGGCAGTGGTTCCAAAATCCGTGTTGGTTGATGATTCAGCTCAGGACTCATAGTACTAAAATGACTAAATATGTGTTGGGTTGTACAATCCATTATAGGAATCGCTATCAAGCAACTGGTTGTCTTGAACCAGGAAATTCTGGGTAAATGATGATGCCTGGCATAATGGGGACGCCTCCTTTGTTCAACAAGAATCTGGTAAATTGGTCACTCTCCATTGTTCATGGATGTTCATGCTTCATCCTCATCATCTCCATCAAACAAATTGTTTGGTTGCTGGTTTAATCCATTTACCCTCTGGTAATTTAACATAGCTATTGAAAATGGCCATTTATAGTGATTTTTCCCATTAAAAATGGTGATTTTCCATAGTTATGTAAACGTTTACCAGAGGGTAAATTCCATTACACCACCATCAAGTGAAGGAGAAAGCCTATCTACAGGCCCATTTGAGGATATCATCGTGCCCGAATTATCTTCCATCCCACCAGTGAATAACTCAGAGCCCAATAATGTGGCGTACCAAACATTGAGTGTCGTGGTTATTTTGTTTAGCCTTTCATACAATTCATACAATGTGGTACCCCCCAGTTATAAGTTAGTTTATAACCCCCATCAACTATAGATATATCTACCATAAGTCCTACTTATTGTAGTTATGTTCACCAACTTAGCTATCTATGGGGCACCACTATGTATCAATTCCAAAATGCGAAACGCCTATGGAATGTTCCTTCCAAATTTGTGGATGTTCCATTAGTTCTGGTAGTCTGAAACTTGGAAATACCATGGCATACGCACAAAAAACTGTTTAAACGGTGAGGAAAAATGATATTCCATTGGAATTGCTGGTATTGACGGATTGGTCTAAGAGAGTTTTTTTTAAACAGGAACCCCCTATATGTCATGGGAAAAATGGGGTTTCACATGATTTCATCCTTTCCGGTGGTGATTTTCCCAAGACCCATGCGTTTGGGGCGTCCCTATGGCAGCCCTCTTCCAGGCTCCTCCTGCATTTGTCCCAATGATATGTGCCTGGGACCTGCTCAATTGGTGGTGCAATCGCGAACGAAGTTGGCCTTTCAACTAACAGTTATAGCCTAGCCCTATAGCCGGGTAAATAACTGGCAAAAAAAATAACATGAGATATTTCACCTTAGTTGCAGAAGTTGTTTCATCCCATGGTCAAAACTGTTAAGGGCCATAATTGTAACAGAATTACAGGGTGGGGCCCCAAACACGATGTTCGTTGGTTTGTAAACCTTATTAACATCTCTTAACTGTACTTGTACTGTTTCCATAGACCCTGGTTATTGGGATTATAAACCAACTTGGCTATCTTAGGGGCCCACATTGTAGGGGTTATGGATGTTTGTGTTATTTCTAAATTTATTTAATGGGGGTCGTAAACCAACTTATAAATAGTTCTATATGGGTTATAGTATCTTATGATCATCCCATGATCATGAATATCGATTAATGGCCTTTACAACTCCCTGTTGATGGATATATATTATTGGTGTCAATCTTTTGACCATGAGACATATGAGCTGTACTATCATTATCGTATACAGTAATTATGTATTGATAGTCATCTAGTTCCACTACGAACCAAAGCGATTCGCACCTCTCTAGCGCGGCAGTGCAACAAACGCTACATAGTGAATTTCAAGGCTGACGAGCCAGATGAGCTGCACTAAATCCAATTCGGTTCCATTCAATCACTAAGAAAACAGAAAACACATGAGTACATCATATTAAATCATGTGAAACCATATTGAATCATGTCTAAAATGTAGCTTACATGTAGGGTAAGCTCCCCCATCTTAAAAGGGTAAAAAAACACATATGAAATCCCATTCAAGTCCCAAAATATCCACATGAAATCCCATCCAAGGACCATGATGCCATAAATTTTGATCGCTGCCCCAGGTTCCAAGCCAAAGATGGCACCTGCGTCCCTTGCGCCCCCACCTGCAAGACCTGTGTTTTTTGGCCAATGGGGGTGGGTTCCGCAGGCTCAAAGAGTGCTCGGATGGTTGAAACACATGGGAAAAACCATTGGTTAGTAAACAAGTGTATATGATAGGATCAACAATAACCATATCTATATTATATATATATATATATCTATATGGTCTATATTCTTGGGTTAGTTGATATTTTGGGATCAATATCAACATTTGTATATGATAGGGGATTGAATAGAACATGAACTGCAACCATAGTTAAACCAATTCAACATATGGGATTTACATTCCTGGATCAATCTGTAAACCAGATATGTTTCTATTATTCTTTGAAAAAACATGGGAATCGTTGCTAAAATTTATACATCAATTTATTGCAGGGTGGTTATAAATACTATAGCCAGTACTTTAGTCTGTTGCTACCAATCGTAAAATGTACATAAATGTACTACCAAGCCCCAGCCAATAGGTAGTGTTTTTTACATGAGTGAACCGTCTACTGTAAATGAGCCATGGCTTCCATAGCAAACTGTTAGTTTCTTGGAGGGGAATCCATATGGATGTAACATGATATGCAAATGGCCCAGATGGTTTCTGTTATTTCAACACGTTGCATGATGGCCGTTTTATTTACACTCTATGTATATCATTATCCATATTTGATCAGCAGATTGTTGTTGTTGTTGTTGTTGTTGTTGTTGTTGTTGTTGTTGTTGTTGTTGTTGTTGTTGTTGTTGTTGTTGTTGTTGTTGTTTTTGATGATGATGATGACGATGATGATGATGATGACGACGGTAACGGTGACGGCGACGATGACGACGACGACGATGATGTGTTTGGGGTATGTGTTTGCCTTCTCAGGGGGTGTTTGGAGGCAAAGGGAATGGGGTGTTTACGCCGGAAATAATGCGGTAATTGTGGTTGGTTGACGATCATATTCTATCAATCTTTATTGGGAGTTCGACCCTTAAACTATGGGGATATAAGATGATATATATATATATATAAGTGGATATGACTGATAAATGATCCCAGTCTAATATACGAATAAATTATACATAGCTATGTGTGGTACCATACACGATTTCAAAAGCACACATGCGTATATATAATATGTATACGTATATTTATTTATACAGAGGTGTTTAGCGATCCTCAAGTAGATCTAATATGAATCAAACAAAAACGACACTGAGATGTTTCTTTTGAACAGGTCATGTCTACTTCAAAATTTCTCCACACATCATTTATTGTTTTTTGTTATGTATTCATTCATTGTTTTTTTTGTTTATTTATGTTGTTTGTATATTTATTATGTATTTATACCATAAACCACAGTTAAGTTATTAATAGTGTTTATATTTTAACTCCCTACAATGTGGTACACCCCAGTTATAAGTTGGTTTATAACCCCATCAACTAGTTCGATATATCTACCATAAGTCCTAGTTTTGGGAGATATAAACCAACTTAGCTATCGAACTGGGGCACCATTATGTAGATATAACTATATTTAATGGGGATTATTTCATGGTTTATAAACCAACTTTTTCTACTTAAATGGGGAATGATCCATTTCATCACTAGTATAATTTGGTTCAAAAGCCCGATCTCTGGCTGCCCGAAAAACCGAGGCTGGCAATTCCTCCACATGCACTAGCTGCCACGCGACGCAGCACCGAAGTCTACAGGATGCGCAGTGCGTTTGTCCCAAGGGCTGCTTGGATGGCGGAGATCATTTGGGATTTATATACGGTTGGTGGTGCCCCAGTGAGCGATTCATCGCTAATTTGGTGCACATAACTCCAATGACTATGGTTTATGGTAGATATATCTATCCTTACTATGGTTTATAAATCATCGTTCACATCACTTGGGGGGCACCACCTTGATCAAATTATGAATAAGTGTGCAAAAAAAACATATATACTATACATATGTATAGGTCTAGGTTGATAAATAGATAGAGAGATATATAAGTAGAGTGAAATGTTTGAAATGGAGTAAACTGGGAATGAAACTAGACAGTTACTGAAACAAAGAAAAACATACACAATAAATTGTGTTTAATGTTGTTTGACCAACAACATTGTGCCTAAGATTGTGATTTTGACGCTTCAGCACAGATATATTGCATCAGCAAGACAGAGGATTTCAACCATGGAACATGTAAGTAAACTTGTGATCTTAGCAAACACATGGATATTTCAAGAGACTTAATATGTTTTGCCTCAACATGTTGGTTTCGATATTTGTGTTGGCTCAGCTGCTCAGGACCCCAACATGTTGGCACTTGGGAGTTTGTTGACGCCACCGGTGGCGCGACGTTCCAACGTTCCAAGGAACCTTCTCCTCAAAATCCACCAGCCACGTTTGCACGGCCTGTAGCTGCCCATGTTCAGCGTCTCGGTGCTGGGGCTGGATGATTTATGGATCCGAAAATCCAGCTGGATGATAACTACAATGTTAGGCCCCCAAGATATAAGTTGGTTTATAAGCCCCAGTAACTATAGTTATAAATACCCTAAACCATAGTTATTGGAGTTATAAACCAACTTAGCTATCTTGGGGGCCTCACATTGTAGGAGTACCCCGATAGGAAACCTCCATCTATGGTCTAATCTGGAGGTGTCTGAACTTTGGGTATACCCTCGAAGAAGTGTTTTGCTGGGTAAGGCGAAGTTGAGTCCGAAGCTGAACCCATCAGTTTGGGAATGGACAAACAAAGTGATAATGAAAATCCTGGTATTCTGGTGGTTGGTGGTTCGTTTTCTTTTTTGAAGGATCCCCATTGACTCTCATATTGTTTACTGTAGGGGGTGGTTTCCCCACCACGCAGTGATCTTTGTTGATTTAATCTCGCGTTTCTGCCAGTAAAATCAAACTTGCTCATACTTAATTTGGTTGGTGGTTTGGAACATGACTTTTATTTACCATAATATATGGGATAATCCTTCCCATTGACTAGTGGTATACATAGTGGTATATACCGTATATCCGTATAAACAATTGTTGGTATAGAAGCAACCATGAATGGGGATGTAATGGGCTGGTTGGTGGTTTGGAACATGAATTTTATTTTTCCATTTTTCCATATATTGGGAAAAATCATCGGTACTGACTTTCATATTTTTCAGAAGGGGTGAAACCACCAACCAGTTAATGGTCTAAGTAGATTGTTAATCATAATGTGGATGATCAATCGACAAGACACATGAGTTACTGTAGCTGGGATACATGTGAATTAGTCGCGTTAATCATCGAATTTGTTTGTAACTTGATGTTGAACACTAGACGTCAATAGTCGAAGTGACCAAACTATGTAAGTCAACATTAGATAGAAATCATCAATCAGTTCGTGATAGAATTCAGTTGTGTTGTTCATTGTCAGTTTTTAGTTTTTAGCCATCAAAAGCAATTCATCAATAATGGATAAGTTGACTAGATGTCAACTAAACACAAATCAACATTAGTTTATGTTAAATGTGAAACATTAATTCGTCATAGCAACCCAGAAAAATGTCGAATAGTTGAACACCTGGAAAATCTGGAGGACACATCATCGAACCACCATCCTAGAAACATACGCTATATATATATATATAATAATGTTGATAATAATAATAATTAATACTATATAGATTATATATATATATATTATTATGTTTTATTATTAGTGTATCATTATATATCATCCACTATCTATCATTAATCAACTCACCATCAACCATCATTAGTTGATATAGACCCACCATTCGTGCAAGTTTGCGCAGTCAAAGCCAACTTGAAGATTTTCGGCGCCACCATCCAGATGCCATGCCTTACTGTTGCCGCGCCTTACCCTTTGGTAATTTAACATAGCTTTAGAACATCACCATTTTAAATAGGTAAACCATCTATAAATAGGCCATTTTCCATAGCTATGTTAGAGGTCAGATGTCTCAATGATGAATTTGGTTGTTTGAAACGTATCTGTTCTTATCAGTGTGACAACTGATATGTCTCCAACTGGAGACTTGCAGCCACGTGGCCCAAACTTCCCCGCTTTAGTGTGGCTGTCCTAGCTAATTGGGTCGGTTCGTTCTCAATTGTGGTGCCATGGACCGGGACTTTCACCCCATGGACTTTGGCTTGATTTCCAATGGTGGCAGTGTGGATATTGTTTGCTATGTCAAGGTTTTCGACGTTGAACATGAGTCTCACCTGATGGTTAACAAACTGACTGACCAGGTTTTCATCTATGCGGGATTCTTAGATGATGGGTTTCATTGTTTCACCATTTTCGATGCCTGCATGAAACAGCAATACCCATGTCCATTGGTTTGCCCGACCAAACAGACCAACGTGCTTGGACATAGAAGGCCTACGTGGGACAGTTTGCACACTGTCATTGACCTGTGTGCGGGCTTTGGAGGTCTCACCCAGGGATGTCTTGCTGCTGGTATGGATGTCCCAGTGTCAGTTGACCACAACAGACCCATGGTAGATTTGCATTCCAAGGCCAGTTGTGCACACCACATCTGTGGAGACTTTGGTAGGAAAGCTGTTTTGACCGAAGTGTGGAAACATGCAGGTGGTGCTTCTGTGATCACCTCGGGGTTCTCATGCCAACCGTTTTCGCGTTTGGGGGACGGATTGGGCCAATCTGACTCCCGTTCAGATTGCCTCACCAAAACTTTGGATGCTGCCATGTTTTTAAATGCCCAAATTATTGTCTTAGAATGCGCGGCGCCCGCTGCTCAAGACAATTTTGTGCAAGCTGAGATTTCCAAGTTCGTTCAGAAAACCAAGTTTCACTGCAGCCAGACTGAGCTTCGGTTGGATTCTATCTGGCCGTGCCGACGACACCGAGCATGGTGGGTCTTGACTTCACCAGATGTAGGCCCTGTCAAGTTGCAGGAATGGCCCCCTTTTCCAGATGTTTGTCAAGTTCAACATGTTATCCCTGACATTTGCCGATGGTCTGATTCTGATGAACATGAGTTGGCTCTGGATGACCATGAAATGCGAGCGTTTGGAGTGGCTGACGGAAAACATGGCAAGTACCTGTTGAACCAGAACTCGAAATCCCCGTGTGCCCTTCATGCTTGGGGGTCCCAAACTCGCCCATGTCCTTGTGGATGCAGGAAGTGGGGTTTTTCCCAAGAAAGACTTGATTCCAAAGGGTTGCATGGCTGTTTGGTTCGTAGTGCCGTTTTGCCTGATGGATCAACATTGATTCGACACATCCATCCCAATGAAGCGATGGGTCTCAACATGATGGATCCTGTCATTGATTTTGGCACAGATGTCCGTCTCACTCTTTCAGCCGTTGGTCAAATTGCCAGTCCTGCCCAAGCATTATGGATCCTTAGTTTCGTAGTTGCCAGAATTGCTCAGCTCCGAATGCACAAGGTCTTTGAACCCAGTTTGCAAATTCAGGCGTACAGAGCCTGGGTCCTGATGCGATGCAGAATGGTGTGGCCCCTGTCGACGCATGGTGATGACTCCAAACTGGGATCCCTTGTTTCATTTTGGCAGGTCCACAAGAATTTGTCCCTTGCTGAGTTGCTGTACCCGATGAGATGGGAGGGAATGATTCAAGGCACAGTCAGCATAGCGTCGGTCTTGGACCATTTGATTCGGACTCACTCTGAGATCCCGGTTACGGTTTCTGATGAACCTAGTGCTGAAATTGATGATGAGCCTGATACTCCTTGGTTTGATGCCCCGGTGATCTCTGATGATTGCACGACTGTTGGTTGCCTCTATGCTGATTCATGCACGGTGGTATTTGAAGGCTCGAATGATTCTCCCATCAGATTCCAACCGAAATGTGATACCACTGTTGAAAACTTTGTTTCTGCTCTGAAGAAACTTGTTGGTGACCTTCGCATTGAGGGCATTTTTCTGAATGGTCGTCCTATCGACGGGGGACATGTCATGGCTGTAGGGCAGGTTATCCATGTCAAGCTGATGGATGAAATTGTGCAGGAGAGACAATCTTCCAAAGCTGATCCAATTGTTGTTTCCCCCACTGCACAATGGACTCAAGCAGTGGATGACCCCATTGAGCCTGTTTCCCCGCCTCGGAAGGTTTCCAAGTTTGATGTTGGTGATTGTGCGATCCCTGCACGATTGCCAGACCCTGATGAAAGCTGGCTTGATGCTTCCCCCTTTTTGGGACTTCATGGTGAACAGTTTTTGAAGTTGCGTATGCCATCTATTGCGAACCCCCAGCAACTGTGGTCTGTTAGACACCAGTATTTTCGCACTGCTGATCGTCTCCAGATTCTTGACTCACAAGCAGAGCTGTGGGCTGATGATGAAATCAGGTTTCACCTTTTTGCATTGCAACAGTGTCACCAGGAACACCATGCTAAGTTTACCAATGTCAATCCGAGGTTGTGTGTGCTGGACCCATTGATTGCTACGTCATGGATTCAAACCAAGGGCTTTGATTGTTCGCTTTGGGGTCGTGATCACCCTGAGATTCTCAACCAGGGTGTTCCCATCATCACTGTGGTATTGGTTGACCAACATTGGATTCCAGTTTTCATGAACCCGGTGAAAGAGGTTTTGCAGGTTCAAACATGGGATGCTCCCACTGTGAGACATGGTGACCTTGATCAGGTCATTCACAAACTTGCTGAGAGTTTGGGTTTTGCAGCCACGTTGATTCAACATGAGCACCGGATGTTTTTCACATCGCATCTTTGTGGTGCCCTGGCCATCGC